TATCTCTAGAATTACAATTGCTTAAAAAATAATGAAGGCTATTATTATTGAATATTAACATGATCAGATGAACCTATGTTAAATTGGGGAAGGGTGATTAGTTCTACATGCAATGCTCAATGAGGATAAATAAAAAAAAACTAATTATAATAAAATAAGCAAACTATTCCTACCGACAAAGATGACCGCATCATGCAGTGTTAGCATCAAAAGCAAAAAACGAACAAAAAGCGAAAAGGGAACTTTGAGAAGCGTTGGTGGTGGATCACGGTCGGGCTGGTGCTCAAGCCAGTTGGCTAGGGTTAGTGCTTGGTTCACCAATTTGTTAAGGCTAGGGGTAGTGGTTGGTTTGTTTGTTATGGTTACGGGTAAGCCAAGTGTTCTATTGGCTAGTTTGTTATTGTTAAGGCTAATGCTATGGTTTGGTTGGCTCTTTGTTAAGGATAGGGGTAAGGTTGGCTACTTAATGAGGTTTCAAGAGAATTGCAAACATTTGGTTTGTTAGGGTTCACTAGTTTTAAACCTATGGTCTGGCTGGATGGTTCATGAGGGGGTAGGGTTTAGGGCAAACTAGCTATTGGTTAGCTAGTGTGCTCAGTTTTCTAAGAGTGTGTCCTTCTCCATTGTGAAGTGAGGCCCTTTCGCTTTTTGGTCGTGTTTCACTGATGCTGCTCACATAGCCTGTTTCTACAACTGGCACGGGGGCAGGGGACATCAAGCGGGGAGGTATCATGCAGCTCAGAGAGTAGGATAAAGTGGAAGAAATTGACCTTACTTGAGCAAACTACAGCATCCAGGTTACAAAGGAGAAGAGAAATAGTAACACATTGGCACATACAGCACGAGAAAAATGGTTATTGGTCATAAGCAGGGCACGTCAAACCTTGATGTGTTACTCACTCATCACGTCTTATAAAAGCCTCAACAATTGAGGACATTACTGGTAAAATGATGCAACTATTATCAGAAGCATTCATTTTTATTGACTGTGTTGGTGCACTAATTGTATTGCATTAAGTGATACATATTTTTTTTATCACAAACATGTAAAATAAAACTGTTTTGGTTGAATAAAAAAGAATGCATCTGGTTGGATCAGTGCCACAACACTCGCTTAGCATGAGATTGGTAGTGAGTGGAAATCACTGGGGAAATGGATACATTCTATAGGAGTGGCATTTGATAAGACAGGGGTTGAAGTTGATAGTCTGACTTAAGACATCTGTTGGAAAAGAGGTACTTGATATCGGTGTTCAAGTGCTTTGCCAATGCTGTAGGGTGCTTTGGTGATGTTGATTTTGCAGTAGTGGTTGTGGTGCAGGGTGATTGGTGGTGGTTTTGGAAGGAGTGCAGTACAGAGTTTGACTGTGCTGTAGAGAGTGACTCACGGACTCAAACTGTGCTTGGTCGTCCTCGGGTAAATCTGTCGTCTCGAACACATCCGGCTCGTTGAGGGCCTTCTCAACAACATACGGAGAAGCAAAGACAAAAACAAAGACATTGAGTCACAACATACAGACACACAAAGGTGCACAGAGACACATGCAGATACCGACACAGAAACAGTCACATGAACAGATACACACAAAAACACATTGAAAGATAAATAGGTGAACACAACATTATATGGAAACACAGACAAATAATGTACACGGAGATACAAGCCCATGCATAAGCACAACAACAACATCCGCCATTTGCCACTAAGTGGCGGTGGCGTGACCACGCCGCTTGTGCCAGGCTATGTACACTTTAAGGCCACTTGAAGTGTCGAACACTCGCTGGCAGGTCACGGAACAGACCCCAGGTACCATGGATTGACTGGCTGAGAAGAATGGCAGATGCACCACCTGCGCCCCCTACTGTGCATAGGCACACTCAGATATAGGCACAGAGAGACACAATACAATAAACAAAGAGGTAGGGATATGGACAGTCACAGAAGACACAAACACAGACACAATGTAAAAAAATACAGCAGCATTGTAAAACAAATGTTTATTGGACCCACAAAGACACAACCAAGTCCACCACCCTCGTGTACCTGACCATGGATCTCTGCCAATGATTTTCACCAATTGTCAGGCTCACATTACTCTGCTTAACGTTTGAGGAAGATAACGTTATTATAACTTAGGTCATCTTCCTTGGTAGTAACTTGCCGAATTAATGCACATATCACGCATTTAAATACAGTACATAATACTGGTGAACACATTCCCAGTGCATTATTTCACACGCATTCTTGTATAATTTTCTTTTTCTGACGAGTTCGTGAAATCTCCACTGGGGATATTTATTGACAATGTCTACTATAAGGTAAACATTCGAGACCCAGTGGCATCATGTACAGAAAGTCAGACAGTTTATTAGCGTAAACGCCTAAACTCTTCAGTTTAACAATTATTTGCAGCTTAATCATCATTATTTGTAATATATACCACACCTCCTATGCAGTACATTTCGATGCATAAAGAAATGTAACGGACTGGCCTTAGTGGCTGATTGCAATGGGGCCAGTAGCAAAGTGCCTTTGCATTTTACTACTTATATCCGCGTTATAATTAATTTAAGATTAAGTGGTCAAACATTCCAATGTAGGATTTAATTGACTGAAAATGTGTATAAAGGCTTCCCATGCGATATAACTAATGTAATTATTATACTTCATTAAAACAGAAACGCTGAACTTCCCAATGTAGGGCTCTCCCCTTGTTCTACTATCAAAGCAGTACCCACGATGTATGAGGGAAGCAACCAAAGAACCGGGAGAAAACTCACCGCACATAGGGGATGGATAACGCCCAAAGCTCCGTACAGATTGATGAAAAATCCATTGCTTTACCGCCCTCTCCCGGTCCCCTGACAACCCAAGCTACAACATCTGAAATTCGCAGCCAGTCTCTCATTCAAATACTGTAATAATCAGGCTCAAACCTTAACTTCCGAAGTATGACGAAATATGTTGAACTTCTTTAGCACCGTACGTAGCCAACCGTGCTAATCGGAGGTGCGAAATAGGACGAATTCCGTGTGATTTGTTAATTGACAAAGGCATAAGGACACGAACAGAGCCATCCCAGATGCTGATGGCTTGTCAATATAACCAATGGAAATTAACTAAATAAATGGAGTCTTGACACTGAGTAAGGTATTTATATACAAAGACAAACATAATTCAGGCTATTGATAACGAAAGATGGATTTACCGAGCATCCAAAAGCATCAATCTCCAAAAAAAAACAACAGTATGACTGTCACGGCTAGAAAATCCACATGATCACAATAAGCATTGTTATTGCTCTTCAACGGACTCCGAGGTAAAGAGGGAAGACCGTCTCACGTCACCGCCAGCGGGCCCAGAGGCGCGTTCTCACGGGCAACCCCACTAGACAACACCGAGGACTCCAACCGTAGGCTAGGCCCAAACCGGCCGTGTCAACCCGAGGGGCGTCGCGCCTGAGGGAAGGCGCACTTACAATTCCTGGGAGGTTCGCGTACTTGGGGTCGGCCATGGCTTGCGATCCGCTGCGATTGTCGATGTTTTTAAAACGTGAAGCTACCGCCGCTGTTGATCACCGCCGAGACAGCGCCCCGTTGACACCGAAGCCACGAAATCTCGCGAGAACTCACGCCAAGCCCTGTGGCCACGTTCCCGCCCCCTCCACACATGATAACCCCGCCCCCTATCAGGATAACCCCGCCCCCCTGGCTGAGTAACCCCGCCCCCTGCGCTTTTCGAAAACTAAATGCGGTAATTCTAGATTTGAAGTTTTCGTGACTGCAGGAATCCATACTCTTTGGTTCTTTCGGTAAAGTCACGTAGGTAGAAAAATAAAATCAAAGAAAATAAAACAAATTACGACGTTTCGATCGCAACACAAGCCATCCTCATCAGGTGGGACAACCACAGCAATAGAATGCTGAAGTCGACGGGAGAGCTGTTGGCAAGAGGTTATATACGTAGGTAAGAAAGGGAGGGGAGGAGGCGGTACTCTACTGCATACCTGTCAACCCATACGGTTTATTCTTGTTACAGGGAAATTTAGTTTTCAGGACCATAAGGCGTAGAGCCATTTCAATACGGGCAACAACACTTCTTTCTGTTTGTGTTTCTCCCTTGTGATGGAACTTTGTAGGATGAACGCTGAGATTTATAAGGGGCACGGGGTGACCAATAAGGTCTGAATTGTTCTGTAATAAGGTAGGGCACTGATAAAGGGTTGACAGGTATGTGCTCTATTGTAATGAAATACATTGTTCTAAGTTTATTTTGTTACAACGGGTGGCAATTAAATGGACCATAATAATCCCATTTGCAAGAATTCCTTGCGTCAGCCAGTGGTGCACAAGCACAAATCACAAAAAGGCTTAACACATTCGTCAATAACACTGTTGCTTTAAACCTGTTTGTCTTAAGCGCTACTGCAGCCTGCACCGCTTTGGTTCTCAATCGTATTTTTTTTATATATATAAAATGTTAAGAAGTATATAGGTTTGATGAAACAAAGTAGTTGTAGTTGTACTCATTGGTTCTTTCGGTAAAGTCACGTAGAAAGAAAATACATTAAATAATAATAGAATACGACGTTTTGATTGCAACACAAGCAACCATCATCAGGTACGAATGCATGAGAAAACAAACATAGCAAAACTTATAAATATAATTCAATATAACCCAGAGAGTCGGCTAACACAACAGTCAACACCCCACCTGGTTGATTAACGTTCTTCCAAAGAATGCTAAATTTGAGAGAGAGACAAAACACAGACACGGAGACACAGACAGACACACAAGTAGAGAGATAACACACAGAGACACACAGAGAGGGACACACATATAGACACACAGTAGGATGTACTTACGTGCGAGTGCTTAATTTGTGTTTTCTATTATTTACCTTCTAAAAAAAAAATCTGCCCATGTCTCGCACCCCCAGAAAGGGCATCTCGCATCCCCAGGGAGTGCGTGCATCCCAGGTTAAGAACCACTGCCTTAACATAAAATATATGAAGTAATAGTCGACGTATTAAAAGGAGCCATTGACATCTTCTCCTTTCGTATGACGAGAAGAGCTTACCCAGGGATGTCTACTTTGGATTTACACTCAATGGCTTCCTGAGATGCTAAGTGGGGAAATTAAGTGCTTCTCACAAAGTAATAGACAAACACAATTGCACGAATATGGCTTAATACTCTCCACGAATTACTTTAAACGGCATTGATATACGACGACTTTTTGCTCAAACTGTCAGGCTGCTACAGCTGTCCTTTCATTAGCCGCTGTGACATCACCAACGTCTTAAAAGTCAGTCAAAAAAAGTGTTATAAGCCACCGGTGGGGAGCTTAATTGGGTCACAATTCGATCAATTACATTGGCAAGTGTAAATAACGTCTTTGTAAATGTGTCAACTTTTGCCGGGTGGTGGAGGAGGGTTAATAACAAGAAGTGTGGCATCAAACTACGCACGTGGCCTTAACAACAACAAAACACGTAGATATTTGTATTGGCTACAAAAACATTACGATTTAAGTTACATTGAGGAGCTTAGTGATCTATTCTCTCTCTGACCGTGCCTCCTGCCTACCATAGCCACGCCCTCGCGTGGGTCCGACCACCAACCCAGAGCCCCGCCCCCAGGTCTCAAGACGAGTGACGTCACAGACCAAGACTCAAAAGGGGAACGATGCTCCGATTCGCAACACATTGACTCGATTAAAATCGATTCCACAAGTCGTAGCATCGTATGTTCCATAAAAGATCGATTGTTTCCCCATACGTGTAAGTTAACACGAGAAGATTACACCACTTTTAACTTGCGCAGCCCGTAGTTTCTGCATGCCCCCGGTGACTTTAGACGAGGGCACACGCAAAGACATCGAATCGTGAATGGTGATCCTCGATTCCTTCATTTGGCTATTAAAGAGGACGCGCATGAACTTCCCCGTTGAGACGCTGGTGCCAATGGCAATGTGAGCCGGTCTCCTGAAACGACGGTGTGTGGTCTACAGCGAGAGAGAGTGTTTGAGTGTGTGTAAGAGCTATTGAGAGTGTGGACTAGAGTGTGTCTGTGTGGGTCAGCGTGAAGTTCTGCCAGACACGTGACAAGTCCGTGGCAAGTGACACGGTCATCGCTGTTGACCGGGGGATTAAAACAAAAGTCAAACACAGCAGGGCACGGGAGTCTACAGGTGAGTCTCAAATAGAAACACGCACATACAGTACACACACTACAGACACAAATGTGGAAAACAGGTGTGTGGCTGACACATATGTGTTACTGGTGTGACTGACACACAGGTGTGTTACTGATGTGACTGACACACAGGTGTGTTACTAGTTGTGACTGATAGTTGTGTCACTAGTTGTGACTGACACACAGGTGTGTTACTAGTGTGACTGACACACAGGTGTGTTACTAGTTGTGACTGACACACAGGTGTGTTACTGATGTGACTGACACACAGGTGTGTTATTGGTGTGACTGACACACAGGTGTGTTACTAGTTGTGACTGACACACAGGTGTGTTACTGATGTGACTGACACACAGGTGTGTTATTGGTGTGACTGACACACAGGTGTGTTACTAGTTGTGACTGACACACAGGTGTGTTATTGGTGTGACTGACACACAGGTGTGTTACTGGTGTGACTGACACACAGGTGTGTTACTAGTGTGACTGACACACAGGTGTGTTACTAGTTGTGACTGACACGCAGGTGTGTTACTAGTTGTGACTGACACACAGGTGTGTTACTGATGTGACTGACACACAGGTGTGTTACTAGCTGTGACTGACACACAGGTGTGTTACTGACGTGACTGACACACAGGTGTGTTACTGGTGTGACTGACACACAGGTGTGTTATTGGTGTGACTGACACACAGGTGTGTTACTGGTGTGACTGACACACAGGTGTTGTGGCCGAAACGTCGTGATTTTTGGTGTTTTATTTTTTACCTACGTGACTTTACCGAATAGAACCAAAGAGTACACAGGTGTGTTACTAGTGTGACTGACACACAGGTGTGTTACTGATGTGACTGACACACAGGTGTGTTACTAGTTGTGACTGACTGCAGGTGTGTTACTGGTGTGACTGACACGCAGGTGTGTTACTGGTGTGACTGACATACAGGTGTGTTACTGATGTGACTGACACACAGGTGTGTTACTAGTGTGACTGACACACAGGTGTGTTACTGATGTGACTGACACACAGGTGTGTTACTAGTTGTGACTGACTGCAGGTGTGTTACTGGTGTGACTGACACGCAGGTGTGTTACTGGTGTGACTGACATACAGGTGTGTTCACCGTAGTAACTGACATACAGGTGTGATACTCGTGTGACTCACACGCTGGTGTGTTATTCGTGTGGACTGACACACATATGTGTGTGACCGGAGTAACTGACACATCGATGCGACCGACACGCTGGTGTTTGGTCCGGCGTGACTTCTTGATCCACTCGTTGTGTGACGGACGCACAAAGTGCGCTACCAGTGTTGACTGACCCCCGCGTATGCGTTTTACCTGTGACTGACACACAGGTGTATTGCTGTGCGTGACTGTCACCCACCCACCGCACACAGGTGTGCATAAGAACTGGCTGGAAAGGGCAGCGTGGAGGCGCGGGGCGGCCGCGAGGGGCCGGAACGGGCCAGCCGGAGCCCGGCTCTGCCCGGGATGTGCGAGGCTGCCGAGTGCAACATCCGAGTGGTATGCCGAGTCCGGCCACTCAACGAGGCGGAGCAGAGCCGCGGGGACCGAGCGGGCCTGCGGTACCAGGGACACGACACGGTGCTGCTCGGGGTACGAGAAGCGACAAAGATGCGCCGTGTCGCCTTTTCACACAGACCGTTGAGGAAAGTGCTGTTCGCGAGTAGCACCTTTTGGAAGTAGGGCTGAACGATTAATCGATTTCAAATCGATATCGCAATTTGAAACAATGCGATTGGAAAATCGCAAAGGCTGCGAATTTTTTTGCGATTTGAAAAGTCCTGTTACTTTCTTATTGGAATTGTTTTCTTTTTTTATTATTATAACTTTTTTTATTTAACTTAACAATTGTTCTATGTTTGGTTGTTCTATTTCAATTAAAACATTTTAATAAATACATGTTGGAAACAATTAATTTATTTTAAGTTCTCATCCTTGCATTAAAATATATAGAGCAGTTCATATTTTGATAAAATCATGTGGTAATGCTCCATCATATGTTTTCAATCTATAACACAGTGAATATTGAACTGAGGCTTAACTTAAAAAAATGTAATCGCAAATCAAATCGCAATCGCAATATCTGTCAGAAAAATCGCAATTTGATATTTTCCCCACATCGTTCAGCCCTACTATGAAGTAACACGAGGGGGTGGGTGGCTCGCATCACGCCAAGCCGCGTTTGTTTCCCCAGTGCTGATGTTTACACACCGCACCAGGGACGTATTTCAGGCTGAGTCGACCTAGGGGAGGCCCATAACTGGTTCAGACAATCGCCACTGTTATCGTTCGCCAGCGGAAATCGAACTCGGGTCGCCAGGTTCGAATCGCCTTGCACTAGCTACTGCACTACAACTCTTAATACGGGACGCGCTACTGATACACCGAGTGTGCGTGAGTGTGAATGAGTGAATGTGGGTGAGTAAATGGGTGTGGGTGAGTGACAGAGCATGGGCGAGTGTGAGTGAGTGGGTGCGTGAATTACTGTGGATGAGTGAATGAGTATAGGATGAATGTGGATGAATGTAGGCGATGAATGAGTGGGGGTGGATTCACGCCAGCGGGTGCGTAAAATGAAACGGTCATCTTCAGGTGACCGTTTGAGTTATGGTCGAAACGTCGTGAGAATTTTTTATTGTTTTATATATATATTTTATTATTTTGTTGTTTCTCTTCAACGTGACTTTACCGAAAAAACTAAGAATATGAACCTCTATTATGTATAATACTGTATTCTTGGTTCTTTCGGTAAAGTCACGTAGAAGGGAAACAATAAAATAACAAAATATAAAACAATAAAATTCTCACGACGTTTCGACTGCAACACAAGCAATCATCATCAGGTGTGAAAACCACAGCAAGAAAATTTGAAAAAAGTGGCGTTTTTTTTACGTTAGCACCACGGAGAGCGATTTTTGCAGTTATTCAGATGGACGAGTCCATCTATGTTCGGAAAAGAGGAGGGGGGAGACGAAAATAATGGATGCGGTCTGAAAGCCACCATAAGCGTGAACAATCAATTAAGATCCGAAATGGTTTTATCAAATCCTTCCAATGATTGCTAAGCCAGAATTCATCTTCTCGGTTGAAATTGTCTGTGTTTGTATATATGGTAGCCAGATGTGGTTTTCACACCTGATGATGATTGCTTGTGTTGCAGTCGAAACGTCGTGAGAATTGTATTGTTTTATATTTTTATTATTTTATTGTTTCCCTTCTACGTGACTTTACCGAAAGAACCAAGAATATGAATCCCTGCAGTCACGAAAGCTTTTAATCAAAATATAATACTGTAGTCAAAAAGCCGTGGACGAATGGTGAATAAGCGATGGGTAAGTTATCGATAAAGGATTAAATTATGGTGGCTGGTTCATGAGTTGTGAATGAGCCCTGAACGAATGGTAAACGAGTCGGAAGGTTACATCGAATGAATGGATAATTAATAGTGAATGAGCAGTGAATGAGTTGAGCGCACTTTGCGCTCTGCTTATTGCTAGAACCGAGTCTGGTATTAGAAACATAGAGCCCTCGAAATTCACGCGATAAGGAATAACAAAGCACGCAGTCACAGACGCGCGCACAGACATTTCTGCAATTTCTGTTGGTTATGAATTTTTGGTAGCGAAACGGGTTAAAGGCACAATGCTCTTCATCATCCAAAAGGAGCCACGAGGTTCTGTGACGCTTTTCTGGGTAGACAAGCGCAATACTAATAATAACCCATCATCAATATCACCCATCATCATTATCATCTTCAGATGCAGCACTAATCCAAAGCCATCTTCATCATCCTATTCGTTCAGCCATCATTATCATCAGTTATTGTAGGTATCATCATCCACCCAATCAGCGTGCGATCTCAGTGTAACAACCGTTTACGCTTTGTAAATAGATTTTAGACTTTCTGTTGTTTCCAGTTGTATGCCAGTAGTGGCTCTCCAACAGTTATTTTATTTTGTTGAGCCCAAACTCGTTGTTATGTAACCTTTGTTTTACTCGTTTTGATCTCGAGCACCAAGTTGTATGTGGCCTACATTATTAGATCATTTTAAAAAAAATCGTTGCCTGTAATTCACTCACATTGGTTGTTTGTTATGATGACAAAAAATTGAAGTGCTCCGTGTGCTTTTTCGTCACTCTTCGCCCATCAAATTTTCGGGAGGGAAAAAAACTCAATAAAAATGGCCAACCTCCCTGAGATTACATGAAGAAATTACCAAAAAATACATAGCCCCCTTCTCGTATAGGATTAAGACAAGGAGACGCGCGGATATCTCTATATCCATATCAAATAGATTATCCGGCAATACTGCTGCGTTGGCAGTTGTGCGTAACAAGCAAAGACGCTTCAATACATTCGTCAAAGGAAACGTCTATTATCGGCAACGCTTCGGGCAAAATGCCCTTTCCTCACAGCGTCACATATGATGTATTTTTTTTTACTTTTGAGAGAGCTACCGCGTTATTGACGACAGTGTTGAGTTTTCTATATCTACATGCAATGTCGTATGCAGCACGTACTTGCATAAATAATATCGGTATACCGTTAAACGTGCAGCATTACTTTCAGCTCAAAGAGCACATTTGAGCTTTATGAGCAGCGAGAGAAAGTTCTGTTAAGCGAGCGCCTATTAATAACCGAGCGACAACTGAAGGTTATTGTGAGTAGGCCAACACCACACACGGCCATAGCCCAAGCTGCCGTCGTGTTTTTGACCGCAAATCCGCGACAGGCAACTCTCTTTAGTCTGAGTCGACTTAAGGGAGGGCCAAACCCAAATGTGGATACTGCTTGCGATTTGCAACGTGATATGCAATCAACCCCACGCACAATACTAATATCCCCTTATTGGGGTTGTTAAACGATTACCGGTAAAATCTTGATTTGAAGCTTTCGTGACTGCAGGAATCCATACTCTTTGGCTCTTTCGGTAAAGTCACGTGGGTAGAAAAATAATAGATCACGACGTTTCGATCGCAACACAAGCAATCGTCATCAGGTGCGGCAACCACCTGATGACGATTGGGAACCTCGCCTCCTCCAAATACCGCGCTTTCAAAGATCAAGAACCGCTTCCACGCCCGGCCGCCTTTGTGTCCCTAGTAGCGATGTTTACAAATCGCACCAGGTACTTGTTTGAGGCCGAGTCGACCTAGGAGCGGCCCAGAACCGATTCAGATGAAATATGACTGGGGTTGACCGTGAGCAGGGAATCAAAACTCGGGCCGCCGAGTTCTCAGCGCTACCGCTTAGACGCGGGCGTGGTGACACGCGCGCACCACGGAACACGAAGACACAAGACGAACACGCGGAGCAACTCGTACGAACCCTTGTTCATTGCACGGGGGGGGGGGGGGTAAGTGGAACGGCAGTACACTAGTTTAACCCCGTGTGCGAGGGTATACAAGCGAGGGGACAGCGAGTTGCCCATCAGCGCACTCGCGCGCGTCTGTGTCTGTGTGTGCGCGCGTTTGTCGGGGGTGTAGTGGGAAGCGGTGGTGCAGCGGTTAGCGCGCTGCGCTATGAACCCGGCCAGCCGAGTTCGATTCCCCGCTCACGGCCAATACCCAGTGACGATTATCTGAACCGGTCCCAGGCCTCCCCTAGGTCGACTCAGCCTCAAATGAGCACCTGGTGCGGTGTGTAAACATCGCCACTGGGGAGACAAAGGCGGCCGGGCGTGGTGCTGGCCACCCACCCCCTCGTGTACCGTTCCGGCCTTCATAGGTGCTCGCTAACAGCACTTGCCGCTACAGTCTGTTAAGGCTATACGGGGGATCTTTGTCTTGTGCGCTGCGAACCCCGGCAACCCGAGTTCGATGCCGGCTCGCGGCCAGGCAGCATCAGTGACGACGAATATCTTGAACCGGTCCCGGACTTCGGCTAGATCGACTCAGCCTTAAACGAGCACCCGGTGCGATTTGTGAACATCGCCACTGGGGAAACAAAGGCGTCCGGGCGTGGTTTCTGGCCGTCCAACCCCGAGTGTACTGTGCCACGTTTAATAGGTGCCCGCTACCAGTACTTGCCCCGACAAGTATGCGATGCCACTGTAAATGTGTGCATTTGTGTTTGTTTTTACTATGCGTTTTATGGTTTGTACCGTATGTGTACGTACGTCGCACGCGCGTGTTTTATACGCGCGTGTTTTATTGGTGCGTGTGTGCGTTTCTCGCGTGTGCGCGCGTATGCCCGCGAGTTATTTGCGTGTGTGGGTGCTTGTTTGTGTACACAGCGTATGAGCTACGTGCCGCCTCGCTCGCACACCTTGGCGTACAGCGGTCAAAGTGCACTCATCACAGAGCCACGTTCATCCTGACGCTTAGCCCAGCCCCGGGCAGCGCCAATCAGTCGTGACTACTCCATTCAAGGCCGTAATTATAATATATATTGGGGGGGACGACACATGCTCAAAATGTCCCCCCGAATATATTGTTATAAACAATATTTGGAAGAAAAAAGTGTCTATGCTATGTAACTAAAAACAACAATTTGCTAAACCTTGGCCACAATATCTGGACTTGTCTTCATGTATTTCTGTTTATATGATTGTGGTTATGGTTGTACTTTAGAAATCCCTAATCTCTGTCATTACATACAATGAAACAAGAAAAGGTGAAAAAGAAAAAAAACAGAGCTATGTAATACAATGCAATATTTGACATTATTGTACAACAAAAAAAGTCCGTCCCATGTGTTAGTGAATTTTTTAATATTTTAGGCAGGAAATGGCAGAAAATTTGTTCTTAAATTTAGATGTTTTTCTGGGGGGGGGGTGGGGGGGGCCTAGACCCCATGGAAGATTTGGTCCCCCCCAATGTTGACTCCATGGCTACGGCCTTGACTCCATTCATCATCATTGTCATCACCCCATGATCATAATGGTCATCATCATCATGTTTTCGTGGTCATGTTTTGTTTTTCCCCATGGTCATTATCATGATGATAACGATCATCATCATCAAGGCCATCACCTGCATGGTCAAAGTCATCATTGTCATTGCGGGTTGGTGGGCCACGCATAGATAACATCCCACGTGTTACGAGACTCATAAACCACTTAGGCTGCAAAGTTGCCAACACATGTCAGTGCAGAGAGTGGGTTCCTGACTCGTCCGTGCAGAGACATCCACAGACACCTGCGTGATATCCCCCGTGAGCGGGGGGATAACACGCACTCCGTAAAAGAAAATGCGAATACCCGGTAATCGTGGAACGTTGGGACAACGTTGGGCCAATGGTTCCAACCACATGTCAACGTTGATACAACGTTACATGTCTATTGGGTAAACAGTTGGGCGCTCAGTTACAACGCTCCATTGACATCATTGTGCGCCCCCCTCCCCATACATTGTAACACGTCAATGAAGCGACGTCAATTGATTGCCATAACGTCTCGCCTGACCGTTGCTGTATCTTTTGCTGTCTCTTCCTCATTGGCGTATGGGAGGGACAGCCCGCAAGGCACAGCCGAAATGCGTGGAGCAGCTACACGGACGAGAGCTGTGTCCGTTCGTGTGCGTTTCGGTCCAATCTTCATTTGAAAATAATACGAATTGCCCATTCATCCCAATTTAGTAAATGCATGTACCGTATGTTGAACTTTTTTCGCACCGTGCTAATCGTAAAAGATAAAGGCGCAGCCCTGCATTCACTTTCCCCCGCCACTGCTGGTGGAAGACAGCCCCAATCTAGTAGGCATATTGACCTACTCATCCATGCTGGCCATGTGTCTGGGAAGAGGTGGGAGTAGCCACACTTCACCCCAACAACAAGCCACGACCGGCAAATGCCGATCGACCGACTATCTGCGCCATACCCGTTCACACTGCTGGGCGGACAGAGGCGGCTCGTAAAAACAAAACGTGTCCATTATTTCAACTGCTACACCAGGAGACTGAATCTAGCCGGCAGGCTCTTTGTTGACATTCCATTGTGCTTGTTATTACGCCGCAGCAGCATTCCCAATGCAGGGGACCTTCTCGAACAACGAGCAGTTCGTTCTTTGATTATTATTTTTTTGGCCATCGCCTTTTGTTGTTGCAGGGTGACTCGGGTCTGTGGTGTAGGCGTGACAGTCAAACTTGACACGCGCGCTAAATTTAGACTCTGTAGAGTCACGACCCCAAGTCCAGTCACTCTGACTCGGACAAACTCAGGTGCCGACTCCCTCACTACGATATGGAGGGTGGCGGTTAAGCATGAAAGTGCAGCCCGGCTACAGCTTGCTCAAGCCACTGCTGACGGAACGGCTTCGAATACAGGGAGCTCGAGAGAGTGAACAATCATCGTTAGCAACAGCAATCATCATACTAATCATCAGCAATAGAAATAGCAACCGTCACTAGCCTCATCATCATACTCTTTGGTTCTATTCGGTAAAGTCACGTAGGTAAAAAATAAAACAACGAAAATCACGACGTTTCGGCCACAACACAAGCGGTCTTCATGAGGTGAAGGGATCAGGCTGTCTCGAGGACAGTGCTGGAGTGAAACACAGCCACGCTCAGACCGCGACCTTTAAGCTGTGTGCGAGCAAACAAGGTGCTTTGACAAAGGAATTAGCATAAATATTAGCATTTGATTGGCCGACTTAGCGTAGAGGTGGTGTACATGCGGGTGCACATGCCGGTTGGCGCGGGGGGGGGGGGGGAGTTTACCTATTGATGGTGTGAAAAGGGAATTTAAGATCCCCCGTATAGGCTTAACAGACTGTTGGGGCAAGTGCTGTTAGCGAGCACCTATGAAGGCCGGCACGGCACACAAGGGGGTCGGTGGCCAGCACCACGCCCGGCTGCCTTTGTCTCCCCAAGTGGCGATGATTTAACACACCACACCAGGTACTCATTTGAGACTGAATCGACATAGGGGGAAGCCCTTGTACCGGTTCAGATAATCGTCACTGCTGTTGGCCGTGAGCGGGGATTCGAACTCGGCTTGCCAGACTTCGTAGCGCAGCGTAGCGCTAACCACCACATCACCACTCCTCATTTTCACCGTCTCTCATCATCACGGTGGTCATGTGCACCTGAGCACGTGTCGCGTGTGGCACGCGTGTGGGCTGTGCGCAGGGCAAGGCCTTCGCGTTTGACCGCGTGTTTCCGCCCGAGGCGGGACAGGCACAGGTGTACGCAGAGTGCGCACGGCAGATCGTGAAAGGTGAGGCGCCCTCACCTGCACTCACTCACCGGGGTCCTCAGCTATCCTTACTTCTCCTCAACCACCCTCACTCTTGCTTACCTGTCATCTACTGTGCTTACAGTGAGGGAAAAAATAAGTATTTGATCCCCTGCTGATTTTGTACGTTTACCCACTGACAAAGAAATGATCAGTCTATAATTTTAATGGTAGGTTTATTTGAACAGTGAGAGACAGAATAACAACAAAATCCAGAAAAACGCATGTCAAAAATGTTATAAATTGATTTGCACTTTAATGAGGGAAATAAGTATTTGACCTCCTCTCAATCAGAAAGATTTCTGGCTCCCAGGTGTATTTTATAAAGGTAACGAGCTGAGATTAGGAGCACACTCTTAAAGGGAGTGCTCCTAATCTCAGCTTGTTACCTGTATAAAAGACACCTGTCCACAGAAGCAATCAATCAATCAGATTCCAAACTCTCCACCATGACCAAGACCAAAGAGCTCTCCAAGGATGTCAGGGACTAGATTGTAGACCTACACAAGGCTGGAATGGGCTACAAGACCATTGCCAAGCAGCTTGGTGAGAAGGTGACAACAGTTGGTGTGATTATTCTCAAATGGAAGAAACACAAACGAACTGTCAATCTCCCTCGGCCTGGGGCTCCATGCAAGATCTCACCTCGTGGAGTTGCAATGATCATGAGAACGGTGAAGAATCAGCCCAGAACTACACGGGAGGATCTTGTCAATGATCTCAAGGCAGCTGGGACCATAGTCACCAAAAACAATTGGTAACACACTACGCCGTGAAGGACTGAAATCCTGCAGCGTCCGCAAGGTCCCCCTGCTCAAGAAAGCACATATAGATGCCCGTCTGAAGTTTGCCAATGAACATCTGAATGATTCAGAGGACAACTGGGTGAAAGTGTTATGGTCAGATGAGACCACAATGGAGCTCTTTGGCATCAGCTCAACTCGCCATGTTTAGAGGAGGAGGAATGCTGCCTATGACCCCAAGAACACCATCCCCACCGTCAAACATTGAGGTGGAAACATTATGCTTTGCGGGTGTTTTTATGCTAAGAGGACAGGACAACTTCACCGCATCAAAGGGACGATGGACGGGGCCATGTACCGACAAATATTGGGTGAGAACCTCCTTCCCTCAGCCAGGGCATTTAAAATGGGTCGTGGATGGGTATTCTAGCATGACAATGACCCAAAACACACGGCCAAGGCAACAACGGAGTGGCTCAAGAAGAAGCACATTAAGGTCCTAGAGTGGCCTAGCTAGTTTCCAGACCTTAATCCCATAGACAATCTGTGGAGGGAGCTGAAGGTTCGAGTTTCCAAACGTCAGCCTCGAAACCTTATTGACCTGAAGAAGATCTGCAAATAGGAATGGGACAAAATCCCTCCTGAGATTTGTGCAAACCTGGTGGCCAACTACAAGAAACGTCTGACCTCTGTGATTGCCAACAAGGGTTTTGCCACCAAGTACTAAGTCATGTTTTGCAGATGGGTCAAATACTTATTTCCCTCATAAAAAAAATGAAAATCAATTTATAACATTTTTGACATGCGTTTTTCTGGATTTTGTTGTTGTTTTTCTGTCTCTCACTGTTCAAATAAACCTACCATTAAAATTATAGACTGATCATTTCTTTGTCAGTGGGCAAACGTACAAAATCAGCAGGGGATCAAATACTTTTTTCCCTCACTGTATGTGTCCTCACCTCCCCAGTCTTCAACTGTCCTCGTCTACCCACACCTGCCCGAACCTATCTTTACCTTCCCTCACCTGTCCTCACCTATCCTCACCTGCCCTCGCTTGTCCTCACCTGACCTCAGCTCCCGTCACCTGTCCTCCCCTCCCCTCATCTGTTCTCACCTGCCCTCACCTGCCCTCACTTGTCCTCTCCTACCCTAACCTTCGCTCACCTGCCCTCACTCACCCTTACCCCATTCTCACCTGTCCTTACCCGCTCTCAGCGGCCCTCACCTAGGTGTTTACAAAAACAAGAGTACGGTGCGAAACAAATGGCGTCCTTGAAAGTAAGAGATGCAACTTTGTTTTCAAAGTTTGAAGTGTTACTCGCGTGAAACGAGAACCCCACCGCCGGCTCACCACTTAGCTTGTCTGCGAATACTGCGCGGCGCGTTATAAGTTTAAATGATTCTCATGTACTCTGTGTATACGTGTGTGTGTGTGTGTGTGCACTCCGTGTATGTTACGCTAAGACGTGCTGCAGGGCTACAATGGAACAATCTTCGCGTACGGACAGACATCATCGGGAAAAACCCACACAATGGAGGTGCGTGTTGGCGTCCCGACCACGGTCACCGATCTCGCGGCTTGTTGAAAGCCAAACAGGGCTTTTTTTTAAAGGCTTGGCTAGTACTCGGTGATGCTGTGACCCAGCAAAATGCAACGTTGGGATGTGTTTGGAACACGTTGGACGAACGTTGGCCCAACGTTAATCCAGCTTTTGAGGATCCTGCTACATTGAAATGTAGCAGGTTGTATACTGGATGTGGTGTACCCGGTACGGACACACCCGCTTGAAATGCAAATGTAGCAGGACCCTCCTGAAGAAGGGAACTTGAGACTCGGGCTTTCTCCATTGGTGATTCAAAAGTTTGGAATTTGGCCCAACCCGAAAATGAAGGTGGCTTCCATAAAAAAAAGAAAACTGTTCAAACATTCGCTTGAACCTGCTCTGGGCAGGAGTGAGGGTGTAACCAACGCTAACCTTCTCACTGGAATACTTAAATAGGTGAAAAGTGACTTGTGACCACACACCATAGCGAGATGGATACTGGACGTGGTGTGCCTGCTTGAAATTTAGCCCTGAATTTAATCCGTTCGTGGACTAATGCCGTGTCGGTGTTTAGCCTCCACTCTTCTATAAAAAAACTAAAGGCATCGAATCGCGTGTGGGTGATTGAAATTAATGTGTTTCGATTTCTCCAAAGTAAATGAAAATGTATGTGTCATTGCTATGCTTAGGTTAGTGGGGGCCGAAAACCCGCGCAAACGAGACAGACAAATATGACAAAGAATTCAAACAGGACGGTGAAAATGAGACAAAATTCAACCATATTCTTGGATTGAATCGTCACGCTTGTCCCAGACGAATTGCCTGGGACAGTCAATCGTTACAGCCTGAATGAACATGTCAAATGATTCATAACTTCTGCATCTTCTCCATCTCTACGTGATCCACCACCCCTACCCCTATTTTTCTCCCTTATACTGAACATCATAGCCACCACACACACCGTACACTGTAAACTCACATGGAACCGGTAAGCGAGACTTTGCTATCCATCGGCGTCTTAGCATCACGCTCCACGGAAGGTGAATTACTTGGTTCGCTGATGATGGGGACCGTGTATGTGTAAGTGTTTACCATACAATTGCTGGGAATCCAAACTCTAAAGTTGTCCGTTTTGGATGTACCCGGTGTAAGCAGAGACGCGGCTGTATTGATGCACAATTACAGAGCTCTCCGGCTTTTCTTAGAGCACCGTCGTTAGACTTCACACCAGTCGCTCACGCTCGCCTAATTCAATGCGATTCAGTGCAACTCGGTTCGACTCGGGTGTGATCTTCAGGGAGTCGATGCAACTTCGGTGCGATTAAGTGCAACTAAATGCGACTCGTTGCAACTCAGTCATCTGTGCGCGCGCTTCAGCGCAACTCAGCACGGACCCAACTCGCCGGTGTGACTCAGTGTAGATCAACATGCAACTCGGTGTGACTCAGTGTAGATCAATATGCAACTCGGTGTGACTCAGTGTAGATCAACATGCAACTCGGTGTGACTCAGTGTAGATCAATATGCAACTCGGTGCGACTCAGTGTAGATCAATATGCAACTCGGTGTGACTCAGTGTAGATCAATATGCAACTCGGTGTGACTCAGTGTAGATCAATATGCAACTCGGTGCGACTCAGTGTAGATCAATATGCAACTCGGTGTGACTCAGTGTAGATCAATATGCAACTCGGTGTGACTCAGTGTAGATCAATATGCAACTCGGTGCGACCCAGTGTAGATCAACATGCAACTCGGTGTGACTCAGTGTAGATCAATATGCAACTCGGTGTGACTCAGTGTAGATCAATATGCAACTCGGTGCGACCCAGTGTAGATCAACATGCAACTCGGTGTGACTCAGTGTAGATCAACATGCAACTCGGTGTGACTCAGTGTAGATCAATATGCAACTCGGTGTGACTCAGTGTAGATCAACATGCAACTCGGTGTGACTCAGTGTAGATCAATATGCAACTCGGTGCGACTCAGTGTAGATCAATATGCAACTCGGTGTGACTCAGTGTAGATCAATATGCAACTCGGTGTGACTCAGTGTAGATCAATATGCAACTCGGTGCGACTCAGTGTAGATCAATATGCAACTCGGTGTGACTCAGTGTAGATCAATATGCAACTCGGTGTGACTCAGTGTAGATCAATATGCAACTCGGTGCGACCCAGTGTAGATCAACATGCAACTCGGTGTGACTCAGTGTAGATCAATATGCAACTCGGTGTGACTCAGTGTAGATCAATATGCAACTCGGTGCGACCCAGTGTAGATCAACATGCAACTCGGTGTGACTCAGTGTAGATCAACATGCAACTCGGTGTGACTCAGTGTAGATCAATATGCAACTCGGTGTGACTCAGTGTAGATCAACATGCAACTCGGTGTGACTCAGTGTAGATCAATATGCAACTCGGTGCGACTCAGTGTAGATCAATATGCAACTCGGTGTGACTCAGTGTAGATCAATATGCAACTCGGTGTGACTCAGTGTAGATCAATATGCAACTCGGTGCGACTCAGTGTAGATCAATATGCAACTCGGTGTGACTCAGTGTAGATCAATATGCAACTCGGTGTGACTCAGTGTAGATCAATATGCAACTCGGTGCGACCCAGTGTAGATCAACATGCAACTCGGTGTGACTCAGTGTAGATCAATATGCAACTCGGTGTGACTCAGTGTAGATCAATATGCAACTCGGTGCGACCCAGTGTAGATCAACATGCAACTCGGTGTGACTCAGTGTAGATCAACATGCAACTCGGTGTGACTCAGTGTAGATCAATATGCAACTCGGTGTGACTCAGTGTAGATCAACATACAACTCGGTGTGACTCAGTGTAGATCAACATGCAACTCGGTGTGACTCAGTGTAAATCAACATGCAACTCGGTGTGACTCAGTGTAGATCAACATGCAACTCGGTGCGACCCAGTGTAGATCAATATGCAACTCGGTGTGACTCAGTGTAGATCAACATGCAACTCGGTGTGACTCAGTGTAGATCAATATGCAACTCGGTGCGATTCGTGGCAACCCCTCGCCCAACAACAGGGTGCGCAGCAGCAGCAACAACAGCAGCAACAACAACAGCAGCAACACGAGGAGGAGGCGACTGCGGCCGGAATCATTCCCCGCATCGTGGACGATGTCTTCTCACACATCGACGCCATGGACCACAACCTGGAATTCCACCTCAAGGTGAGCACACTCACCTCCACCCTCATCACCATCATCGTCGTCATTAACACCGGCATCAACATCACCACCGGCATCTACACCAGCGTTAACATCGCCACCACCCGGGCAACATCATTGCCTAAATCAAGTGCACACATGTGCCGTGTGAACGTGTGTGTTCTGTGCGCGTGTGTGTTCGTGTTGTGCTTCTCCTGTGTATTTGTGTGTGTTGTGCATACAGTGCAGACACGCGCACACACCAGATTCCCGCGTCGACAATGTAATTCACTTAATCGGCAAAAAAATAGCAAACAAAAATGATTTATCGATGTTCCACTTCTGCGGAGGAGCCACACAACGGAATGTGCACACCCATTCATGTCCTAGATTTATGATTGATGCTGGTGCTGCTACTGATGCTGCTGACGATGATTGGTTTGCTTCATGCGTGCCACGTTGTTTTGTTCTCACAGGTGTCGTACTTTGAAATCTACATGGAGAAAGTCCGAGATCTCATTGACGGTCAGCTGATTCATAAATAAAAACATTCAATCGCTGGTCAATTGATTTTAAATGCACGTGTGTAATTGATTTTAAATGCACGAGTTTAGTGTCTCGAGATGCTGTCACGCTTGTGGACCCATTTGTAATCATACTGCTATTTAAAATAATCTATGCCTCGAGTTTCCTGGCTGGCTGCTGGCTGGCCTCCTGTGCACCCCCAACAATAACTCTGTTGTTGGTGGCTGCGGGCTGTTGACACAAAAACTATCTGGGTAAACCAGCTAAACGCGATTATCCATAGAACCACATTGAATTGAATTGAAAAGGCAAAATAAGTTCAGAAGCCATAATAGATAGTGACACCGAAGAGGTGGGAGAACACACATCCATAAGACTGACACGATATATTTTAAAACGTATCTAGCATTTCAATTTGTGCTCGTATTAATGTCATTATTTCGTCAGAATATCCTTTGAAATCCCAGACAATGTAAAAAAAAACCTCTCACAATACTTTTTATCTTGGCATTCTATTATGCAAAATACCACGTTACTTTTATACTCTTGGTTCTTTCGGTAAAGTCACCTACATGACTTTACCGAAAGAACCAAGAGTATGGATCCTTGCAGTCACGAAAACTTCAAATTTAGAACATTACTTTGAGTTCACTGAGTATAGGGTTCTGAGAAGAGCATGCCGATGACAGCTGTTTGTTATTTTCAATTTCAGAGAAACCGGCTCCCTACGAGTATAAGTAATCATAATATTGACAGTCGTTTCACGTGGGAAAGCCTGAGTCTCAAGACATGTTTTCAGGAGGGTCCAGCATCGCAAGCCTTGCTCGCCTCTCTCTTAGCCACATGACTTGCTCACCCGTCTCCCGTCGCGTGACTCGTTGCAGTGACCAAGGGGAACCTGTCTGTGCACGAAGACAAGCATGGGGCGCCGTATGTCAAGGTGGGTGGATGGGAGTCTCACCACTCGTGTGTCCGGGACGTCGATGATCGACGTTCGGTCGCCGTTTCGATGACGTTCGTTGTGGTTTTCCGCGTAACTAGGAGTGGGCTGCGGGAAGGCCGCGTTATCCTCCCCCAAAATTCACCAGCTCGCCAATGCTCAGGCAAAGCAATCGATTGGCTTCACCCCTTTTAGAACTGAATCTCGCAGAGTTGTTCTTCGCTGACGATACAAATTCATTAGGCGGCTCCTGCCTCCTGTCAGTTGCTTGGCCAATTCCTCCTGCAGTGGGTGCTTTTGAGTCCTCAAAAAGTAACCCCGACAAATTCCGCCATCGCGGTTTACGGTGACGGCGGCATTTGTTGTGACAGTGGTGACTGCTCTTATATTTGTAGGGGATGACAAACTTTGCTGGTGATAATGATGATGAAACTTATTATTGTTGTAGATAATCTTGACCGCGATTATTGGGATTCTCGTTGCTGTAGATGATGATTGTTGTGGTAAACGATTGTGAAAATTAATTGTTGCTATGAAAGAAATTGATTGTTATTGCTGTTGTATAAAACGAGGATGACGGGGATAATAATGCAGATAAATGTTGTAAACGATGATGATGATAATAATAATAATGATGATCATAATAATGATGCTGATGACGACCTACACAGGGCTGCACGGAGCTGTTTGTTTCGAGCCCGGAGGAGGTTCTGGAAATCATTCACAAGGGCAAAGCTAACCGCCACGTGGCCGTGACAAGTGAGTGTCGCACTCGGGAGCTCACGGCGGCCCGGTGCTCTCGACTGATTCCTACACAGACCCCCCCCCCCCCATCACACGTTTACCCGGGGCTACCAAAACAACTAAAGTCGTTACACGATGCACACTCCCGATAATTGGTAAACACGTTCACCATCGAGGCCTCCTTGGGCAGTTAACCTGAGGAAACGGGCGCGCGTGGACCGGCAGGACTTGAAGGGGGTCTGGATTGGCTGTCGGAAACGTCCATGGATGTAAACATGTCACGTCCATGGATGTGCAAATGTCTTCGGATGGAGAAGAAGCATCTCTCTTGGTGAGTTGAGATTGTTCCTTTGCCCATCAGCGTTCCGGTATTAACCCCGCAAACGCGGTGCGTTTCAGACATGAATGAGCACAGCTCACGCAGCCACAGCATCCTGCTGCTGCACGTGAAGCAACAGCACGTGGAGACGATGCATATCCTGAGCGGGAAGCTTTACCTCGTCGACCTGGCCGGCAGCGAGAAGGTACGACCCGGGCCCCGACCCTGACGCTAACGCTTCTGATTAATTTCCTTGCCGTTGGCTCAAGCGTAGAGCTAGGACTAACCGATCCTTCTGCTATGGAGAAGGGCCATTTCCTGAAACGTTGCCGATTGTATATGTATATTTTTTCTTATTTACGGCAGCCTTATTTACGAATATTTTTGAGCTTTCAATGAACCAAGTGCTCCATTATCCTACTGGTTTTCGGTTTGGTTAATCAACCTCTCAGATGACGCTGCACGTACTTATGGGAAAAAATAATTCACCTCTTCCCATGTGTGTCGCTGGATGGGAGGTTATGGGCGGGGCTCGGTGGCATCATCAGCCGAGGCACACTGGGCGTGGCTTGTAGGGGATTTCCCGCCTTTGAGAGGCAGGATGTGGGGGCAGCCATCTTATTTAGAGAGTCCTGAGTAATCCGCCAAACAGACATTACTTGATTACAATTTTTCATCCATAAATCCACTTAGCGGACACGTTACCCTTTCTCTACTCAATGGCCACGATGAGGCCGAATGAACTCGACCCATCCCTGTCTGTCCTTTGCCAGCTTCAGTTCAGTGTCGGTTCAATGACATTATAACCCAGAGCAGCCAAAAAACAAACGGCTCTTATCATGTAGCTACACACCTAGGTAGTGTTTAGACAAGTTGGAATTTTCATTTATATTCCAAAGTATAAGTTACTCTCAGGAGGCTACAGCTGTGGCACCAACTGCTGCTATCGTGTGTGCATGTGTCTGCGGTTGGGAGCGGTAGTCTAACGGTTAGCGCACTTCACTACGAACCCGGAGAACCGAGTTCGATTCCCGCTCATGGCCAACACCAGTGACGATTATCTGAACTGGTTCCCTTAGGTTGACTCAGCCTCAAATGAGTATCTGGTGCAGTGTGTAAATATCGCCACTCGAGAGATAAAGGCTGGCCGGGCATGGCGCTGGCCACGTCCCCCCTCGTGTGCCCTGCTGACTTTCATAGGTACTTGCTAACAGCACTTTCCCCTTCAGTCTATTAAGGCTATGCGGGGGATCTTTGTTGTGTGTCTGCGTGTGTGTAGGTGTCTAAAACCTTGGCAGAGGGAGCGGTTTTGGATGAGGCTAAGAACATCAACCGCTCTCTGTCCGCGCTGGGCAACGTCATCTCATCACTGGCGGAGGGGAATGTAAGAGACCGCCACGATGATGATGATGATTGTTCTTGGAGATGATGGCTTACGTGTCTTGTGTGTCAAGTGTGTCTCCCAAACACCCCACATGCCCCATGTATCTCCTGACCTGCCTGTGCCGTGTGTCCCCAATGGAAGTTCTGTGTCTCATGCGTGTCCCCGCACACGTCTCTTGTGTCTTCCGTGTCTCCCTTGTCACCCGTTTCTCTCACTCGCCTCGCCAACGCGAGCAGAAGTCTCACATCCCATACCGCGACAGCAAGATGACGCGAATACTCAAGGACTCGCTGGGAGGTAACTGTCGGACCATCATTGTCATCTGCTGCTCGCCTTCCTCATACAATGAAGCCGAGACCAAGTCCACACTCTTCTTCGGACAGAGGTGAGCGTAGCGATGGGGTTTGTACACGACAGACAGAAATGCCAGCCTCTGATGAAGTCTCCAGATAATCGATAGGCAGACAGGTTCCTCATGGGATGTTTACGCCACAGCATTCTTTGGGACAGAGCAGTAAATAAAAGCATCCAATGCTTCCTCATCCCTTGCTCCCCGCACCTCCTGACCCACCTCTGCTCCCCCACTCCATTTGCTTCTCCTTTACCAATGCCCCCCCCCCGCCCACCTCCCCCCCCCCCCCCCACCCCCTCTCCCCCTCCTCCCACTGCGCTGCCCCGCCACCCAGGGCTAAGACAATCAAGAACACGGCGTGCGTGAACGTGGAGTTGACCAGCGAGGAGTGGCGGAAGCGCTTTGAGAAGGAGCGGCGGCGGAGGAAGTCTCTGTGGGCACACCTACAGAGGGCTGAGGCTGAGCTGGAACGCTGGAGGGCAGGTCAGATGGAAATTCAATGTCCCCAAGTCCAAGACTGTACATATTTAATTCTGCTCAAACCTCCCCCCCCCCCACTATAGTTGTTTTGGGCATAATGCACTGCACATATGGGGGGGGGGGGCTCATCCAGCAGTGGATTTGCTAAAGGTCTGTGCACATACGTGCAAAGATAATATTAGCAGTTATCCATGAAACGCACTAATGGTTCTTTTTTGCAGTCATTTATAGCTGGGCTAAGACCATCACCTCAGTGCACTTGATATTCCAGTTTAATCTCAAGTGACTGAAACCCAAATTTGAACCCAGGATCTCAGCGGTGTGAACTCATTGTCTCTGACATTATTAATCCAAATCTCCCCCCACACACCAAGCCACTGAGCTACTTGAGTCTAGTTTATTAAGTATAGATGTTGCCACAGTGGTGTAATGCTTCGCACACTGACACTTGCAATCCAGAGGTCGCAAGTTCGATTCCATCTCCTGGGGATGCAGTTTAAATAATGGCGCACGTTTCGTAATCAATGCCTCTGTCCACCCAGCAGTATTAAGGAACAAAAAGGGTCACCCCGGTTATTTGATCTTCCCGCCATGGTGGCAGAGTACCCCCGAGGGGGTGGGCTCACGTGAGCTCGCTCAAGCGGTCTAGCGGCGGCCCTTCTGCCGTTTGCAGCGTGAGCGATTAATTGCAGCGGCTGCTCCTTGACCTTCACGCCTTCACATTGTTCGGGAGCGATGCGAGTGGCGGCGATGAGAGCGCCGGTGGGTGTGCCGTGCAGGTCAGACGGTGGCGGAGTGCGACTGGTGTCACGTGAGGGGTGAGGCGGGGGGCCTGGGCACCTCAACCTCCGAATCCGGGGTCGTGACCCCCGGTGACAGCGGTCTGACCGAGGCCTTGAGGCAGGTGTACGAGGAGCAGATCCGCAAGCTCTACCAGAACCTAGACAATAAGGTCGCTCACCACGCATCCACCACGCATCCACCGGGTCATACAGATGGCCACCTCATGTCCATAACGTCCGCCGCCTCTCTATGATTTTTACTGCATGCCCAAAACTTTCACCGCACATCCACTCCATGCACCACATCCACCACAGGTCAACACATCCACCACGCCACATACGGGTCTACCACACCATGCACACACACGAGCCTGATTGACGGGTGTGGCGATGCTGAAGGTGAGAACGTTGATGAGGGTGACGAGGTGGCTGGTGGGTGCGCACGTGCGTGTGTGGCACAGGAGGAGGAGTACAATCAACAGGCCCAGCTGGTGGAGCGCCTCAACAAGCAGATGCTGGATCAGGACGAGGTGAGGGCCTCATTTACTTGTTGATGATCTCGAGATATTTTAATGTTTTGAATCCTTTCCAACCAAGGTTGAAAGTGTTAATGCGTTAACTCTGTCCATATGTCTGTTTGCAACGAGGGGGCATGATAGCTCTCATGAAGATGATTTAATACGGACGAAAGTTTTACTTTAAGTTGTGTTGCTTTTAGGGACTTATCCTGCATTAAACCGAGCACATTGATCTAAGGGTAACCCAAAACTTGGATCTGAAAACAAGCGCTCAAATAATTCGCCTTGGCCTTTTCACCAGAGCGGTTCAGGCTTTGTTCGCTTGCCCTCCTGTCCTGATGGTGAATGTGACACAACTCTACATGGACAAACGCACACACACACACCTCTACATAGACACACACACACAGACACATCATGTCTTCTCGTAATGCGACTAGCAACTTACGTCGGTATTATCGTTGTCATCGCCAGTCAGGGCCGGTGGCCGGGGGGCGCCCTCCACCACCAATTGTCCCTTTGGCCATCCCAAGGTCACTCTCCTCATCCATCAATCAACACCGTTATGGGGGTGGGGAGGGGGTCCCTCACTCAACAGCTGTGTGAGCCCCCCCCCCCATAACTAAGATGATCAGCGAGATCCGGCCACCGTAATTAGGACAAGCGCACGTTGGAAAGTGTTTCAGAATCCATTCATCCGCGTGATTTTTCTTCCTCGCTACCTCCCCCCTCCCCCCCCCACCCAGCTGCTGGCGTGCTCGCGCCGCGAAGCGGAGCGGCAGCAGGCCGAGCTGTCGCGCCTGCAGGCCGACGGGCGAGAGTCGCGGGACGAGATGGCCCAAGTGCTGCGCTCCATGGACGAGCTCGCGGCTGCGTACGACGCAAAGAGCGCCGAGCTGGATCAACGCGGCCGCGAGAGCCAGACGCTCCACGCAGAGCTCCAGCGCAAAACCGTGAGGGGGCGGGGGGGGAGGGTGATGGTGGTGGTGGCTACGGGGAGAGCAGGGGAAGGGGAGCAGTTGGAGTATAGTGAGCGATGTACACGGTGTGCGCATGGTGTGAGTGGGGTGTGTATGTGCATGGTGTGTAACATGGTGTGTATGTACATGGTATGCATGTACATGATATGCATGTACATGGGGTGTATGTACGTGACGTGTACATGGTGTGTATGTGCATGCTGTGTACATGGTGTGTATGTACATGGTATGCATGTACATGATATGCATGCACATGGGGTGTATGTGCGTGACGTGTACATGGTGTGTATGTGCATGGTGTGTACATGGTGTGTATGTACATGGTATGCATGAACATGATTTGCATCTACATGGGGTGTATGTACGTGACGTGTACATGGTGTGTACATACATAGTGTCTACATGATGTGTCCGCGCGGTGTGCCATGCAGGAGTCCCTGGCGCTGGCGGAGGGAGAGATCTTGAGCCAGCAGGAGCTCGTGTCTCAGGAGCGTCGCCGCATGGCCGACTCCACCCTGGAGCTCCTGCGTGAGCTCAGCGAGATCACGAGCTCCGCGGGGGGCAAGGAGAGCCCGGTGCGTGCGTGCGTGCGCGCTCTCCCACGGCGACAAGAACAACCAATCCTTTGTATAACCTCAGCAGACTATTCTGTTAGCGAGCACCTATGAAGGCCGATACGACACATGAGGGGGTGGATGACCAGCGCCACGCCCGGCCACCTTTGTCTCACTAGTGGTAATGTTTCACATTGCACTAGGTACTCATTTAAGGCCCAAGGACCGGTTGAGATAATCATCACTGGCAATGACCACGAGCCACCCAGTTCGTAGTGCTAACCACTCCACTACCGCTCCGCACACCTGTACAGTTTATATATGTATACACGTGTGTACAAGGACACACCCGTGAATGTACACTCCTCTTCCACCTATCATCAGATCTCTCCCATTCATCCTCTCTTCCATCTCGCTCCTCCTACCCCCCCCCCACGCGCCACGTGTCACGTGTCTGTGTAGTGGGTGAGTACGGTGGGATTCGGGGGTGAGGAGGAGCTGTGTCTGGCTCATCTGGGAGCGACCCGCGTGAAGTCCGAGGTGAAGGCGCTGGCTCAGCGCTGCCTGCAGCTCGGGGAGGATCAGCGCGAGCGCAAGCGGCACCAGGCCGAGACTGAGCGCGAGCTCAGCACGTGCCGCCTGCTCATGGCGCAGGTGAACCGGGCACCCGGCACCTGTCCTCATCCTGGCGTCATCCCATCATTGTGGCACCCGTCGTCTTCCCATCATCATCCCGGAGTCATCCCGGTAGTCATCACGGTGTCATCCCTTCATCTTGTCACCGATCATCATCCCGTCATCCTAGCACCCACCGTCATCGCGGCATCATCCTATCCTGGCGAACTGGGCACTTAATTAGCCAGTCATGATGAAATAACGATTGATAACGATGGCTAATAATAATGATGACCCCAGCAGCGATTGTTAATTGTTAATGATGCTGCTGTAGAAGATGATGATGATTATAAAATATTTTGGTATTATTTAAGCGATGATGGTGATGATGATAACAATGACTGACGACGATACTGACGCTGATTAAGCTATTGGTGGCAGTTAAGTGGCACATGTTACGATGATAATGATGACTGATTGGCGGTGTAATATGATGGGCGATTGAGGTTGCTCATTGGTTGACGACGGCGATGACAAAAATGTTCACCGATGGTGACAATGATTGACGATGAACAATAACGATGTTGACGACGTTTGGTCACTGATGATGCTGACGATGATGCTGACGATGGCTGGCGTGCTCCCATACTCAGCTGGAGGCGAGCGTGGGTTCGTTGACGGAGGCGGCGCGCGTCGAGGAGCTGAAGAAGCGCAGACTCGAGGAGACGTGCGAACAGCTGCAGCAGGAGCTCGTGCGGCTGCGCACGCAAGGTGGCACCAGCCCCACACACGCGCGCACATGTACAGCATTAGCAGGCTGTCGGGGCAAGTGCTGTTCGCGAGCACCTACGAAGGCCGAAACCGCATCATACCTAGCTGCCTTCGTCTCCCGAGTACTATTGTTTACACATCGAACCGGGTACTCATTTAAGGCTGAGTCGACTTAGGGGAGGGCGAGGAAATGTTCAAATATTCGTCACTGTTGTTGGCCATGTGGGGGAATTGAACTCGGGTTGCCAGGTTCGTAGCAAAGCACGCATACACATACGCGTAATAAAGGTCAAGTTTATTTTGTTTCTGCATTTGAGAACTCGAGGGACCAGGAGGAATCTCCTTTTCAAGTGTGACCTGAGTAGAGGTCCCGACTCACAATAATAAATACTTATTAAACTAAACTATTTTTTATTTTACCAGCTATATCGTTTTTTTTCAGAAGCGACCTGGTAACAAATGATAGCTCACGCGGAAATTTATAGCAGGCAAATACTCTAAACGCACGCTGATTCTAAATGGGAAGGGAAAACCCCAAGGACCCAGAGAAGAATCTACACGACCACGGGCAGAACAAACTCCAAATATACAGCAGGCGTCAGGGTTGCGGTCGAACCCACGACCTCCTGTATACCTGTCGAGTTAGTTAACATTTCGTCCTAATGCTTTTTTTTAAGACGACGTATGGCCAAAACCAATGACCATCTGTTTTAGCCATGGGAGGAATCCGGAGAACCACGCACCTTGCTTAACCTCCCGATCACCCCACTCAGCCACCACCACTCCAGCTGCAACCAACACTGCACCCCACTGCTGCTGCTTACTCTCCACCGATGTTTTTGTATTGCAGAAAAAATGCACGAGATGTCCTTCAAGGACAAAGAGAAGAAGCACTTGAGCATGATAGAGAAGGCCAACGAGATGAAGGTGCATACGTACACACATAGACAAAGACCTCCCCATATAGCCTTTAACAAACAGATTGTTGGGGCAAGTGCTCTTTGCGAGCACCTATACGAGGGGTGGGTGATCACTACCACCACACCTGGCCGCCTCTTTTTTCCCCAGTGCTGATGTTTATGCACCGCACCAGCAACTCGTGCAAGGCTTAGTCAAACCGGCGGAGACCAAAAACCAGTTCAGATATTTTTCACGGATGTTGGCCACGAGCTGGAATAAAACTCGGGCACCAGGGTTCGTAGCGCAGTGCGCTCGCTGCTACACTGCCGCTCGCCACATATCCCCACACATCCAAAAGAACAAATACAAAGATCCCCCTATATAGTCTGTAACGGACTGTTGGGGCAAGTGCTCACACTACACACGACCGCCTCGCTGTCCCTCCCGCAGGTGTCCGTGGTGGAAGAGCTGCGAGCTCTGGCTGAGCGACACCAGGAGCAGCTGGGACGACTCCGGCAGGAGAACGAGGAGAGGCAGCGGCTGTGTGAGCAGCTCAAGGGGTGAGTGGCAGGGGTGAGGGCTCAAGGGGGCAGTGATACGGGTGAGGAACAAGGGGTGAGCAGTGATGAGGACGATGGCTCACGGGTGCTACTCACTGACAGCACTTGCAAGTTGCAGGGTGGGTCCCGTTCACTGCTGAATCTCGGAACGCACAAGCGGTTACAATGAATTTTATTTAGGGAGGCATGGCGCTATTGTTTTTAAAGACATTGTACTGACTGACCTCGGATAACTGTAGTGACACGAACGCACTATGATGGCTGGCGCCAAACTATGCCACACGCCCTCCCGTACGGCCTTGTAGGAGCCTCGGTACGTCTCTGACCTGAAGACGTACCGATACAATTATTTTATTCTAGCTTTTCTTCCGATTCAGAGTCGAAAAGAAAAACCGATGTATGTGACACGCGTAGTGTGAACGGGCGTCTGGAGCTCGAGCTGGAACAGATCCGAGGGGACTGCGAGCGACTCCGAGCTGCCGAGCTCGACAAAAGCAACCAGCTTCACGAGATCAAGTACGTTGCTCGAGTGTGACATCACAAATGCACGATCCTGTTACGTGCACGCATGCGTATATACATATACATAGCCTGGCGCTATGTATATGTATATGCCAGGCTATGTGCACTTTAAGGCTGGGTGAAGTGTCAAAATATACATCACATATGCACAGCAACACACGGAGAAGGCATCGTAGACGCGATGCTGTCGGTTCCCAGGTGTCTGTGAAATTGAGTCAACACCGTTGTCCCCGTGCCCCCTCCCCCGTGACCCCTGTGACCCCTGTGCAGCGAGAAGCAGCAGAGGCTGGACCTGGCGAGACACGACCTGCGGGAGCTCGAGAGGACCGTGGTGAGGATGTGATGATGATGTTGCTGCTCGTGATGATGATGGAATCGATCATTATAACAATGACAGAAATAATATTGTCGGCGGAGATGATGGCAAAGATGATGGTGTTAATGGTGGAGGAAGTGATGACGTACACGCTCATTGTGGTGGAAGTGATGATCATGATGGTGTGGAAGTGATTATTAGTTTGATGATGAGTGAATTTGATGATGGCATTGGTAATAATATTAATTATAAATGTGCTGATGATTTAAGTGATGTTGTGAATAGCAGTTTAGATTATGATGATATTTATAACAATAGAATACTTGATGTGTTCTGGATGCATTGGCTATGATTGTGATGATGATGTCTTTCACTCAGATCAAGGAGCTGCAGTCGCTGTACAACTTACGCCGTGCCCTCACACATGAACTCGCCATGCGCATCCGCAAGGTAGCACTGCCCTGTCGTGCGGCGCAAACTCCACGTTCCTACATCGGGGACAAGAATATCCAATTTTGTTTCGTACTATTCTGCCCGGTGCTGGCCCTATCAGGTGCTCGCTGACAACACTTGGCCGCCTCATACAGTCGTCATGTCATCCTGCCAGTCAATTCAATTTGTCATGTCATCTTGCCCGTCAATTCAATTCGTCATGTCATCCTGCCAGTCCATTCTTCTCGCAGTTCCAAACACCACCAGAGGGTAGCGCTATCACCGCTATAGCCCAGGGGTCAGCAACGAAAATGACAAAGAAGAGCCATTTTTGTTCGAATTCGGTTAAGAAAAACCTAATATTTGAAGAGCCGCCATGCACGTGAACACGAAACGGTGGTCCTTGATAGATGACGTCACAAAGGAGTCCTTAAAGATCCGCCATGCACGTGAACACGAGACGGTGGTCCTTGATAGATGACGTCACAAAGGAGTCCTTAAAGATCCGCCATGCACGTGAACACGAGACGGTGGTCCTTGATAGATGACGTCACAAAGGAGTCCTTAGCGAGCCGCAGGTTGCCGACCCCTGCGATAGCCGGGGCGCGTGTCACAGTTCAAAATCCCAAATTCCGATTTTAGAGCTTCTCCTCTCATTGCAACTGAAGAGGTGTGGTGTGGGGTGCGTTGTCTTTGGGCAGAGGACTGTGGAGTCGTGTGGAGCCTCCGGCAAGCGAGATCAGCGGGGCGTTGTGATCCGGGGCTCCGCAGAGGCGGAGCCCCCCACCTCCTGCGATGACACCTTCCAAATTGAGAACGTGAATAGGCTCCACAAGCAGGTGCTGTGCCCGCTCGCTCAAGCCAAATGCACCATCACCATTGTCGCCATCGCCATCGTCGTCATCATTGCAGTAATCATCGCTGCATCATCACACAGCTACCATCATAATCATCATCATTCTTCTCTCATCTCAATCATCACTACCTCTGTCATCATCACATCATCATTCCACCAACAACACCACCACCACCATCATATTTCTCGCTCATCATCATCACCACCACCCTCGTCGTCCCACCGGCAACCATCATCAACACGCTTGCTCATTGATCAGACCGTGGCCACCACGGCCGCCCTCCTCCCCCTCGTCACAGATGCTAGAGACCAACATCGACCTGCGGAAGGAGGTACCGCGGCTGCGTTCGCGCGCCAGCACCGTGCAGCGTCGCGTCTCCGCGCTGAAGGTGGCGCTGCAGGAGGCCCGGGCGGCTCGGAGGGCGGCCCCCGGAGCGAGCGGCCCCGGGAGCGACGAGGCGCCGGGCGCGCGCGTCGCCTCGTCCACCGCCGCCGCCATCGTTCGCCGCATCAACTTCCCGCAGATCGGTGAGGAGAGAGGCCCCACCAGCCCCACCAGCCCCACCAGCCCCGCTCCTTCCCTCGGTCGACCAGAAATGTCAGCACTGGGGGAGACGCAAACAACCGGGCGATTGTACTCGCGTCACCATCGCCACCATCACAAGTCACAGGGACGTGCGGGCAGGGAGGGCAGGGGAGGCAGAGCCTCACCTGTCATACTCCAATAAAAATGGATGTTTCGAAAAGTACAAAAAAATATCAAATGAAATCAATATTAAGATTTTTCCACTGATGTGCGTTATAAATGTCCTTTCTGTACGATTCCAATAATTTTTATAGTAAAAATCGCCAAATTTGCGGAGCTCCGCTGCAAATACAGGAAGAGACGAGAGGTGAGGCAGCGACGAGCTCAGCCTCCCCTCTGATTGCGCAACCCCTCTGTAACTGGATGGAGCGCGGGCAATAAGTGCGTGCCTGTTACTATCTCAGTATGTCACCAATGTAATGTTTGTAGACTCCTTCATTTCATGTCCTCGCCTTCCATACTCCAGGTAACTTATTTCACATATGTGTATAAAGATATTTTGGCTCGCTGGTCTCGTCATGAAACTGCAATGAAAAAGCACCAGGGGAGGCAGCTATCACATCTGTCTCACTGAGGGGGGCGTGTCTAACACGCCCCCATGAGTGAGGACACGCCCTCTCAGTGAGGTCACGCCCCTCTCTTTGAAGCCACGCCCCCCTCAGTGTGTGACTCTGGCTCTGATACTAGCCAGTGCCTCCCCAGCCACTGACCTCACCGCACGTCACTGATAAGTCATCCATCCACCACCACCCATCCACTGCCCATCACCCGGTTGTGACGTCTGGTTGAGACCTCTGGTTGTGACATGTGGTTGTGACGTCTGGTTGAGACCTCTGGTTGTGACATGTGGTTGTGACGTCTGGTTGAGACCTCTGGTTGTGACATGTGGTTGTGACGTCTGGTTGAGACCTCTGGTTGTGACATGTGGTTGTGACGTCAGGTTGAGACGCCTGGTTGTAACACCTGCTTGTGATTCCTGCTTGTGACATCTGGTTGTGACGTCTGGTTGTGACGCCTGGTTCTGACGTCTGGTTGAGATTACTGTTGTTACATTGGTTTTATAGCTTTATTTTGGTGATTCGAAAACATATGGTTAATATAAATTGTCTTATGGTTGTTGTTGTTGGCTTGCACCATATTGATTTTTGCACACAGCGTTTTAATACGTTTTTTTTGTGTGTGGAATATTTGCTGGTTTATTCCAGGATGTTTCTGTTACGCGTTGTTGCTTTAAGATGTTCTGTGTTCAAATTTTGTTTGTTGCGGTTGCACCCGACTTAAGAGCCGCATGGCTCACAGGGCTACACCTAATAAATGAAACTTGAAAACTTGAGACCTCTGGTTATGACGTGGTTGTGACGCCAGGTTGAGACGCCTGGTTGTAACGCCTCGTTATGATGCCTGCTTGTGACGTCTGGTTGTGACGTCTGGTTGTGACGTCTGGTTGTGACGTCTGGTTGTGACGCATGCTTGTGACGTCTGGTTGTGACGCATGCTTGTGACGTCTGGTTGTGACGTCTGGTTGTGACGCATGCTTGTGACGTCTGGTTGTGACGTCTGGTTGTGACGCATGCTTGTGACGTCTGGTTGTGACGTCTGGTTGTGACGCATGCTTGTGACGTCTGGTTGTGACGCATGCTTGTGACGTCTGGTTGTGACGTCTGGTTGTGACGCATGCGTGTGACGCTCGCTGCCCCGCCCCCCCCCAGTGAAGCCGATCCGGCCCGGACAGAAGCACACGCCAACTCGACCCCTCGGCCAGCTACGCTCCATGTCCACCCCCTTCCTCTCCACCCTGGAGTCTACCCTCAACTCCAGCCTCGAGTTGTCCTGGAGCTCCAAGGCTGACGCCTCGCTCAGCCAGCCAAGGGACAGTCTCGGCAGGAAGGGGTGCGAACCATCAGCATCATCATCAGCATCCTTCAGCATTCATTTGATCGTTTTCAGCATCACCCATCCATTCCGACCCCTTGCTCTGCTCTACCGATCTGAACACTCCGTGCACATCTCTGCTCTGTGCTGATGATGATGATGATGAAAGTCACACATCAACATGGGTTACAACTGCACGGATTTGAATTGACTTTATATTTTTTACGCAATTGCTGAGCACAGGCAAAGAGGCCCAAAATGTACAGTGGGCAGCAACAAACAGTACTATCATATAGCTATATTAGGCAATAATTTACAAATTTCTTGTGTGCTGTTGTGGAGAGTGGTAGTGTAGCGGTTAGCACGCTGCGGTATGAACCTGGCGATCCGGGTTCGATTCCCGCTCGCAGCCAACACCGGTGACGATTATCTGAACCGCTCCTGGGCCTCCCTTATGTCGAAGCAGCCTCAAATGAATACCTGGTGCGATGTGTAAACATCGCCACTGGGGAGACAAAGGCGGCCGGGCGTGGTGTTGGCCACCCACCCCCTTCGTGTGCCGTGCCGGCCCTCATAGGTGCTCACTAACAGCACTTGCCCCTACAGTCTGTGAAGGCTATGCAGCACTTGTGACCTGCAGTGTGAGTGATTGGGTGCAGTATTGGATGAGTAGTCCTCATCATGGGAGGACGAATCAACGGTAACCATGATAATGTAACCATGATAGTGTAACCATGATAAGCAGGCTACTGATCTCTGGTGAGCTAGTGTCTGCAGTGAATCGGTGAGAGCTGGATCATCAATCAACCTGCATCCTGACTCGCTGTGTCCTGCCTGTGACAACATAGGTGGGAAAAACAGCTCACGGAGAACAGCAGCGACCGATCAGCGATCCTGCACATCCCAGAAGGTGCGACCACACTCACCTCTCCTCCTCACCACCTTTATCCAAAATGCTGTCGGTGTCACGCCAAGAGCTGCGAATGTCCCTTTTGGAACTCTCTCAGTGAAGCAGTGCACGACTCTCCTGTGTTACACAGACACACACACACACGTGTACGTGCAGCCTTAAACAGACTGTTGGGGCAAGTGCCGTTAGCGAGCACCTTAGAAGGCCGGAACGGCGCACTAGGTGGTGGTTTAGCCAGCACTGAATGCCTTTGTCTCCCCAATGCTGCAGGTTACACACCACACCAGGTACACATTTGTTTAAGGCTGAGTCGACCTCAGGGAGTCACAGGAACCGGTTCCTATGTTTTTCACCAATTTTGGCCGTGAATTCGTACTCGGATCGCCGGGTCTGTAGCGCAGCGCACTAACCATTACTCTACCGCTCCCCGCATACACACACGTGTACACATACGCACAAACATAAGCGTACACACGCTCACACTCATGTATATGCACACGCTCACACTCACGTGCATACACACGTGCACACACACAACGACACACGCGTCCTCGTGGGGACGTGCGTCTGATTGGCCGCTCTGTGTTTGAGCAGGAAATGAATGAGTTGGAGGCGGAGGGTGAGAGAAGTACGAAAGAGAGGAACTCTTCTGCCTCAGCGACTCAACCCGTGGGCCTGACGGACCAGGGACTCGAGCCAGCGACTCTCACGGACTCAATCCAACCCCGTAGCGTGACCTTGTTTAAACTGGTGTGTGTGTGTTTGTGTGGGGGGGGGGGGGTACAACAAAGTCAATGTGAAACAAACTTTAAACAAATGTTAATCACCGTTCATCCGACAAAACTTTGAAGAAATTCCGCTGCTGGTGTGAAATTTGGCACCAACATGAAAGAAAAAACTAAACTTGAATGTCCGAGGTCCGTGCGTCACGTGGCGGCTTCGGTCTCCGCAGTCACACTGTGGACTACTTTTGCATAATTTAGAAGTGGGACCCTGAGCATTCAGACACTACGGGGGGGGGGGGGTGGGGGTGACTCTACCCCAAATGCTCAGCTACCACAACTTTAAGGGACCAGGGACTCAATCGATGACTCTAAGGGACTCTAGTCCTGGACTATTGACCATAAATCCCACCACCACCCAAGCCTTTGCTGACTCTGCAGCACACAATGTAAGAGTTGAGTCAAAATCAGATGCGGGAAGAAGAGATTGACTGCTCAGTTGCTCCGTTTATAGTTCATACGCCGGCATGCGTTTCATGCAGACACATGTGCCTTTGACATATTTACCTCTCGGTATGCTGTACTGCCATTTCCTGGCCACGTTGCGGCCCAGTGTGTTTGAGAGTTACGTACTGCGCCTGTGACCCATGCGCTTGGAGACGTGGGTTGGTGGATCATGCGCAGATTTGTGAAATTCCCAAACATGCTTGGCTGCGAAGTGCTTATCAAGAGATAGCAGTGCTGCGAGTGGGTTCGTGAACCTAGCTCTGTGGACATCTGTTATTCCCTGTCATGCGTAGCGGGTTTGCTGCTGTTTTCTCCCGCTTTGCAAAACGACTACTTAAGAGGGAATTGGCTAAACATCCCAAAGCAGGACCCACCCTGAAAACATCTTGAGACTCAGTGAGGCTTTCCTGAAAAATCAAATCATATCGCTGTCTTCACTGATTGCTGTAATTTATATGTAGTGCCCATGTACTTATGTGCAACAAAATACTCAGGATAAATGTGAAATGGCATTTTTTTAAATGAAGGTAGGATAGCAAGTAGGTTGCTGATGTAGATGGTGCATCAATGTTCTCGCCAATTGTATGTGTGAGTCTTGTCTGACTTTCCTTGGAAAATAAATTATTGTAAATTGTCAATAATTGTAAAACGAATTCAGAAATAAAAACAGTGTTTCTCTTCATGTAACTATTTGGATGTAAGTGTAATTCAAATAGTTATACCGATTGCAGAGGGGTGGGCACGGTGGTTCGCGCACTGCGCCGTTAACACGGCGTGGGGAGTCCATACACCAGTGGATTTTCATGAGGCTTTACTTATTGCAGAAGCTCGCTAGGTGGCACTGTAAAATAACACTTTAACTCGTAAGGCACGAGCTCAATTTCCAGTCAGGGTTCATCATCCCTCCAGAATGGATACAATTAGTACCACTTTTTTTTTAGTAGTGACCACCTTATATCAGTAGTCACCAGGTGATGAATGCCCTGGTCACCGCCATGCGAATATGGCATTTACATCGACGGCTCAGAGCGACAAATGTAAGATTGTAGCACCGCCCAACACCTCTCTTGAAGCAGGAAGACACGTGCGACTCGATTATGAATCCAAATATGATTTTATTGCAGAAACGTTCAACACAATGAACACAAAATTCACAGTAACTTGAAGAGCCCAGCTGATACGAGCTGTGTAGCGACGCATTGATGTATCGATGCAGGCGGTTGTTAAGAGATCACCGGAGATGCAGCGGATCGTGTGAGCGAAATATCAGTCTTCGCAGAACGCTGCTCGTATGGCATGGAATAGGGATTATCAGCGTATGTCACTCCCACTAAAGTACAGGGTCCACCTATCCATAATAATAGCCCTATATTATTGCTACATTTGAGTCACCACCGTCCACAGTTGCAAAGTATATATTTCTTATTTTGATGTATTGCTATACTCCGGTGATGGTTTTGCAAAAAATATATTTTGTACAGAAGGTAAAAAAAATTTGAGCCTGGTAGAAAAATACAAAATGACATTCTAGTCAGGATGGTTTCGAAGGTGCCGTTCAAAAATATATAAAAATATATACAGTATATATTAATTAATATTAACACAGTTTCTAATTAGCATTATATAAATACATTACTTTACTACGCATACCAGTGCACATTCATAATATTACATAAATACCAGATCACACCATCACACAAACACACTTGCTTTAAAATACTAAAGACAAAAAACGATCGTCTTTTTAGCCTGTAACAGACTGTTCGGATAAGTACTGTTAGCGAGCACCAATGAAAGCCAGCAAGACGCACGAAGCTGTAGTGTGGTCGACACCACGCCCAGCCGCCTTTGTCTCCCCAGGGGCTGATGTCTAAACGCCTCACCCGTCAGCCTGTGGTGGTGGAGGGGGGGGAGGCCTATGACTGGGTTCACGTATCGCTCGCCACGGATGTAAGCCGCGGCTCACAATCGCACCCGGCACGGTGGCTTCGTAGTGGGGTGCCTCTGTGAGCAGCTGCGGCATTGCTCCTCTCTAACACTGAGCTAAGCACACGCGAGGACATTCACACACAAGTGTTACACGTAGGCAGCCCCACAATACACACCCGTACAAACCCATAAGTACTCACGCATACGCCCGCAAAGACGACGATTCCCCCGTACAGTCTTAACAGGCTATTGGGGCAATTACTGTTGGGGAGCACCTATGAAGGCTAGTGGGGGGGGGGGGGGGGGGTGGTGACCAACACCACGCCTGACCCCCGTTGTCCCCCCTACCTAGGCAAGAGCCATGACCGTCTCAAATATTCGCCCCATTTATTGGCACACACCGCACAAAATACACACAGACTGACGCTCCGCACAATTCAAACCCACCCCCCTCCCACACACCACCCACACTACCCCACCCCCTACCACACCCACCCCTGTCACACGCCGTGAATCACCACACACCCGTGGGAGCGCATGGGCCCCGGCAGTGCCCCGGCCAGCGCCCAGACGCCGGAGCGGGGGTCGTACGCCTCCACGCTCTGCAAGTAGGCCCCCCGCTCGGCCGAGTAGCCCCCCGTGACGAGCAGGCGTCCGCCCAGCGCCGCGCAGCCCCCCTCGAGTCGCCGCTCCACGGTTACCCCCCCGGGGCGCCACTCTCCGCGCTCGGGGTCGTACACGTCCACGTGTGCGCTGTGGCCCCCCAGGACGTAGATCAGGCCCCCCAGCACCGCCGAGCAGAGGCCGTATTCTGTGGGGGGAGGGTTTGAGGGTTTGAGTCGGGTGGCTTTCGGGGGGTGAGGGTGAGATGCTCGCAGGTGAGTGGAGTGCTGTTGGGAGAGCGATTGCCTCCCAGCTGCCCAGTAGCGTCCTTCGCGAACCTCCTCCACAGAGGCCGACCGTGACACCTCCGGTGCCGGTCATCAGGGAGTTTACTTAGCTCCACATCCTCCTGGTGCCGCATCAACTCCGCATGTGTAATCTAAAGATCTTCCTACAAGTGCCCGCGGGAGCTCACACAGCGGCACCGCGTTGAAGAAGACATGTGGGGGGTAATCGCACTCATGAACCGGTTCATCTATTCACATCGATTTTCGTGCCGACGATCGGCGAACAAAATGCATGACCGCATTTCTGATTCGCGCTTTAGGCTGACGAATGGAATTGAACGAGGCAGAAGAGAAAAACTAAATTCTCTCCCTCGCTCGCTCTCCAGCGAGGGAGAGAACAGCGCAGAGGTGCGCGAGGAGGAACCAGAGGCGAGTGACATTAAGGGCAGCAGCAGGAGCAGCAGCCAGGCGATGAGCCGGCGCTACCAAACAATTGCCCAAGCTCTGCAGTCCTCTATATGCAGCCTGTTCTCCGATAACGCGGCAATTGCTTTCCTGAAGAACACCGCGTTTATGGAAACATTGCGTTATAATAATATATATGGCAAAGCACAGTCCGCGATAACATGCGGGATACGTAACGCAGGGTGAACAAAGACTGAGGCGCTTGGGTAGATCTAGAAGGATCCAGCAGCATCCCACTGCCTTTGTGTGATGCTGCGACGAGGCAGCCGAACAGCCGCTTATTCCGACTCGGGTGACGTAGTTCTGTTCACTCGATCGCGTTATATCCAATTCGCCTGATGAAAACACGCTTTTATACGAGAACAGACTGTATTGACGTGTTATTTGTATCGGCCAATGGGACAGAACACATGAGAGACGATACAGAGGGCAAAGTGCAGACAAGTCGGACAGAAGAAGACAAGTCGACGGACTACACCACAGATGGGGCAAACCGCGGTGATGAGAAAGGCCGTACGGACAATAATACAGACAGCACAAATGCGACAGGCTAATGGGCCGAGTACATTAATATACGCAGTATAAACGTACCCCCTATTTACGTCTCCCCATTTTACGTCGTTTCGCGAATACGTCGTCGCTTTATCAATGACACCGCTAACCCGATTTGCGTCGCCTCAACCCCGCTACTTACGTCGCTGACAGCATCGTCCGTCCTCTCTCGTTATCCGTCGCCTCCACCATCCTACCCTGTAAATCGCTTTGGATTTACGTCGTTTCGATATACGTCGTCGCACCTTTGAGTAACGCACCCCCCCCCCCCCCCCGACGTAAACCGGGGTATTGCCGTATTTGTGTTCATTTACCTTTGTAGAGAGACAGATATGTTGAATGAGACGCCAGTCACATGATCTATTAGTAACTGCTGGCGGGCTGAGGTGAGGTGGTGTAATGGGGTTGGTGAACCTTTACGTGGCCCCTGCTCACCCCCCGCTCCTCACCACGAGCACGTCACCCTCTGTGGGAGCTGGTGAGGAGCGAGTGGCTCGGAGCGCAGACGCACGCTCGCGAGCACGCGAGCACACACATCGTGTTCCCCCACAATGCGACACCTTATGGAAAATTCATAAAGAGCGCAGCTCAGTGTGGAAAACCTGACACCCACTTCAGGGGCACGGTCCGTTTGCTTTGGGTGTCCGTGGTGTGTCTGCGCGTGCCGTTATTGTATCTGTGTGCGCCTATTACTGTTTGCGGGTGTGTGTCCATGATATACGAGTAGCGTTGCCTGTTTGGTCATCATTATTAAATGATAGGTCATTAGCAGCCTTTTGTCAATTCACTGCGAGATAAAGGCTGCCACGTGCTGCGTGCAGGTCACGAGGGGGTTTGTTTCACCATGAACTTAACCACGTGGGCCAGTGCGGCACTCGACCGTGTCGAACCGACCATCATCGGTTCAGATTTCACTCGGCACTGACGTTAGCCGTGGCTGGAAACTGAACTCAGATCGCTAGGTTCAGTATAGCAAGTGCATTAAACTAAACTATTAAAAAAATGTATTTCACCAGGGAAGTGACAGAACACGGGAGAGAAGGGCCATCTGGATGAATACCTGGCAGCGAAAAGTGAGGCAAAGCGAGGTGGTAGCAATGGTAAAAGCAACAGCGTTTGCACAACTCTACCAGAAGCTTGACAGCAACGAAGGCGAGAAGATGGTATGCCGTTTGGCAAGAGCCAGAGACAGAAAAACCAGGGACATTGAGACCATATGCATGTCGCGAAGAACAGTGAAGGATGAACAATCTTGGATGAGATCAATGTTAGAGAGAGATGGAAAGAGTAATTTGCGAAGTTGCTGAATGTGGAAAACCCAAGACGCGAAATGGAAGAAGAAGAAGGCCCACCTGGCTACGTAGCTCTTTTTCAGAAACGACCTGGACCATACATGATAGCTCAACGAAGTGGCTTATCACGTGCAAATTTTTCGTAGCTAAATACTTTAAACGCACGTTGATTCTAAATGTAGAGGGGAAAACGGGTGGAACCGGTGAAAAATCCACGCAACCACGGCGAGCGAGACATGCAAACTTCAAACATACAGGTATCGGGTTCAGGAACGAACCCACGACCTCCTGCATACCAGGCGAGGTAGTTAACATCTCATCACCATGGTGCCCCACTGCGACACCGCTCCACTCCTCATAATCGTTATTATGATCATGATCATCATCATTTAAATTGCCGCCCCAATACTTGGTTGAACAGCAAGACACATCGTGTTTGTCCACGATGACGACGATAATGGATTGACGGGTGATGGTGATGATCATGACCACGATGAGGATGTTGATTGAGGATGCCACTGATGCCGATGGTGATGGTCATGATAATGGGCCAGCAGATGTGATAATCCTGCGATGATGTTTATGATAATGTTGGATAAGTTGACCAACTACCATGATGGTTATGATATTGATAATGATAAATTAACCACTGTTTGCGATGATAATGATGGATCAATGATCGTCATTTGGATGATGATGATGATGACACTGGTTGATTGATCATGACGATGGGTTGAGCAATGATCACGATGATGATGATGATAATCATGATGGATTGACTGATGGTGATGATGATGATGATGATGCTACTGGAGGTACCGGGATGAGGGCAGGGAGTGAGGGAGCTCCATTGGTTCCGCTCCGCGTGGTGGGCCTGCACGTGTCCCAGTGAAGACCCCCCGTGGCAGCCTGAGTGCCCCCCAATCACGTAGATGCAGTCCCTGAACGAGCACGCAGTCGCGTTACCCACACCTGGGAGAATAAACACAACAACAATAACAAAGATCACCCGTTTAGCCCTTACCAAACTGTTGGGGCAAGTGTTGTTAGCGAGCACCAATGAAAGCCGGCAGGGCACACGGGAGGGTGGGCAGCCAGCACCACGCCCAGCCCCTTTGTCTCCATAGTGGCAATGTTTACACACTGCACCGGGTTACTACTTTGAGGCTGAGTCAACCTAGGGGAAGCCCAGGATCCGTTCAGATAATATAATCGTGATTGTACACCCAAGACAGCGCTTACACGTATAGCACATACAAACACAAACACAGTTACATACAACACTTTCACATGCACACGACCAACGCATACGCGTAACACTAAACAAACTTGATAACATTTTCGTGAAAGAGAGATTTTTGGCTCAATGGGCTTTACTCGAGAAATAAACGTCTGATTCTTCTCCTGTGACAGCATGGACAGTGCCGTGGCTAGCAGTAGCGCGTTCGCCGCTTGTTGCAGAGATTGGCGGTTCTAATCCGTAAGGCCGCCCTGGATATTACTGCGGGTGTAATGAGAATAATGTAAAGCTAAACTGTCTTTTTTTATCCAGGTAAGGCCCACTGAGCTATTTCGCTCATTTTCAGAAGCGACTTGGCGACGAATTATGTCTCAACAAAGTGGCTTATCGTGTGGAAATGTATAGCAGCCAAATATACTCTAAACGCATGTTGATTCTAAATGTGGAAGAAAAAAACCGAAGAAACCGGAGAAAGATCCACGCGACCACGGGGAGAGAGAACATCGAAACTCCAAATACACAGGCGTCAGGGTCAGAATCGAACCGACGACCTCCTGTATAACAAGCGAGGTTGTTAACATCTCCCCACCGTGGTGCCCCACGCGTCGTTTGCTCGCACAGTGGCCTACACAACGGTCATTGCGTTGTCGCCGTTACGATCCAAATTGGAAACACTGAATTGGGAAACAGTAAAAACTTAGCAAGATCCTCCTCAAAAATAGTTCTCATACTCAGCAAGAACGGGTCAACAAGCGTAAGCGTGTATGTATGTACAGTGTGTTGAACTTATTTTACACCGTACATAGCCAACCATGCTAATCGGAGGTGCGGGGGAAGGACAACAAACTAGACAGAAAAAGTAGTTGGGGAGAAATTAGTTTTTAAATCTAGATTTAAAAGTGCATAGCTGCAGTGGCTTCGTATTAAACAACAGTAAAACGTTTTCCTGAGCCGTTATCTGACACAAGGTGAAACTATGGCCTTACAACATGACGTCAGGATTCATTAGGAACCGCGTTCTGCAAATTAAGTGACCGTTCTGTTTGAGACAGCAGCCCCCGTCCACGGGCAAAGTAGAGTTTTCCCACCGCTAAATTCAGAGAAGCTGAGCACCGCGCCACGCTGGTGGCGAAGGGGGAGATTCTGTCACGTTTCAACGTCTGATATTTACATGGAGACAGTGGAAAAATCCACGACCCGATGCGGCCTCCCAACATCAACAATCTCCCACTGACATCATCGGCCGTCAAACAACACCATTAAACACCCCCCCCACCCTCCATCAACAACGGCATTGTTGGAATAATCAACGGCCTGTCAATATCGTCAGTCTTATCAACGTGACTACAACAACCCATTCACATCAGTGCCACTGTGATCACTGCCAAAGGCCATAGCCATCATCATCATCTTCTTCGTTATCATCGTCATCACGTAAAATGTGCTAAACCTCACTCATAGTGAAATAAACCTCGCATACACACACGCACCATCAACAAATCCATTAGCACGGTTAGCTACGTACGGTGCGAAAGAAGTTCAGCAACCTGTACATGCATACATCACCACTGTTATCATCCCCAATATTTTGTTATGCTAATCAGCGACCTAAAACCACACGCATACCATGTAACCCCCCACCCACCCCTCCCCTAACCACCACGAGCCCTCACCGTGCTCCATGCTCGCAATGGGCGTCCACTCGCGCTTCAGGGGGTCGTACCGCTCTGCGTCCCTGGCGGGTGCCCCGTCCCTAAACCCCCCCATGGCGAACACGCATCCGAGCGCGCTGGCCGAGCAGTGGCAGTAGCGCGGTAGCCCCATGGGGGTCCCGGGGGTCCAGCGGTCTCCCTCGCAGCTGTAGACCCAGAGCGAGGCGAGCGCCTCCTCCACGCGCTCGCCGCGGTACCCTCCGCTCACGAACACGCGCGCCCCCAGCGCTGCCACGGCGTAGCTCTCCAGCGCGCGCTCCGGGAGCGCGGCCCCTGCGCTCCACGCGTCCTGCCCGGGCCGCCACGCGTGCACCTCGGCCAAGGGCCGCCAGTGGTAGCCGCCCACCACGTAGAGCTCAGCGGAGCAGGCGCGCTCCACGCGAGGGCACGGTCCCAGCACGGCCGCGCGCAGCGCCGAGCGCAGCGTCGAGCGCAGCGCCTCGGTCGAGGACGCAGCCCCCGCGGCCGCTGTCACCAGCGCCTCATCCACCCCGGTGTCGAGGAGCCGCAGGTTCACCCCGATCTCCAACAGCTCCGGCAGCAGCGCGGCGCGGCTCCTCGGGGCGTGCGCCACCCACGCGGCCAGGGCGCCCAGCAGCGCCTCCTCGCTAGACACCTCCAGGTCCCGGCGCGAGAGGAGCGCGCGCAGACGGCGCGCCTCCAACTCGGGGAACTCGTCGCTGGCGCAAACCTCCTCGAAGGCGGAGGCGGAGAGGCGGCGCGACTCGCGCTCCAGGCGGCGGCACGCGTGCGTCTCGGCGAAGGCGAGCAACCCCAGGCAGTTGGAGGGGTCGAGGCGGCGCACGAGAAAGCGCTCGCACGCCGTCTTGACGGCGCCAAACTGCAGCAGGTCCGCGGCCGCCAGGAGGGACTGCACGTTGCGCTCCGTGATGGAGACGCGCGACGTGTACGCGAAGCGCAGGAGCGTCTCCATCACGTCGGGCTCCACGGACGGCAGCACGACGAGCGAGAAGCGTCGCTCCCGCATGTCGGCCGTGAACATTGCCTGGAAGTAGGCGCTGCAGGCGGACAGCACGGCGCGGTGGCAGCGGAACGAGCGGCGCGGGGCCGTCATCGAGGATGGGGATGATGGAGGTGGATGATGAGGCGATGGAAGAGGAGAAGGAGATTGGTGCTGCCCGTGGCACTCGAGCGTGACGTCCGAGAAGAGGCCGTGCTGGTAGAAGGAGTGCAGAGCGCGCAGCATCTCGCTCGGGTGCTGCGCGCACGTATACGCGTACGCGTACCCGCTTCGCTCTGGCTCAGGGCCTCCCCGGGGCACGGGGTCGTCGGGGCCGCGGCTCGGCATCGCCGGATCGAGGAGACGCGGCGGGGCCGTGGGGACCTGCGGTGAACAGGGAGGGGAGTGGGGGGGGGCAGAGGCAGTCAGGGACACAGTCGCATACCGGCAATCAGGAGCCAGGCAAACAGTACAGCACTCGGTCAGTCGGCCTAGACGACACAGGTGCTCAGCGATCAAGCAGTCGGGAAGAAGGCAGCTGTGCAGTCAGAAACCAAGGCAGTTGGGAACCCAGGCCACTGGGCACCCACCCGGGGCAGTAAAGCACCCCTTGTAGACAGCCGATCAGTCAGCAGAGAGCACTGCGCCCGCAGGACGACACCCAGCCCGCTCCCTCTCGCCCACTCGGGCAGGGAGCGCGCACGGGCGCGTGTGCGCGTCCACGCGGCGAGAGGAGGGGGGGGAGAGAGAGGGATGGAGGATTTAGGGAGGGAGGGAGGAGATTGGTCGGCGTAAGCGCGACTCGAAACTAAACACAATGGACTCAACCCCGTCACATATTTGCCCGTGTCTGTTTGTTCCTCTTGTTTGCTTCGTCATTCGCGCTGCTCCGTGCACGGCAGTGTGCGAGAGCTTGCGTGTGGCTGTCTGTGTTGAACCTACGAAGGACCTACCTTGACCCATGCGTGTGGCTGTCTGTGTTAAAACCTACGAAGGACCTACCTTGACCCATGCGTGTGGCTGTCTGTGTTGAACCTACGAAGGACCTACCTTGACCCATGCGTGTGGCTGTCTGTGTTGAACCTACGAAGGACCTACCTTGACCCATGCGTGTGGCTGTCTGTGTTGAACCTACGAAGGACCTACCTTGACCCATGCGTGTGGCTGTCTGTGTTGAACCTACGAAGGACCTACCTTGACCCATGCGTGTGGCTGTCTGTGTTGAACCTACGAAGGACCTACCTTGACCCATGCGTGTGGCTGTCTGTGTTGAACCTACGAAGGACCTACCTTGACCCATGCGTGTGGCTGTCTGTGTTGAACCTACGAAGGACCTACCTTGACCCATGCGTGTGGCTGTGTAAATAGTTAGATTTTTGGTATTTATGTGGAGGGCCAAATATTGGAACGAGGCGTATTGCCTGCTCATTTATGAAGGCCGGGACGACGCACGAGGGGGTGTGATATAGCCAGAACTTCGCCCGGCCGACTTAGTATCCCCAGTGGCGATGTTTACATAACGCATCAGGTACGCGACTCATGCACGTCGAGGTGACCTCGAAGAGGCCCATAATCGGTTGAGATAATTGCCACTGACGTTAACTATGTCCGGGAATCGGTGCACGAATGACTCTTGCCCGAACAGCCTGTGTGGGCTTTACGGGGGATCTTTGTCTTTGTGCGTGCTGGGTTTCGCACTGCTCTCCGAAGTCGGCGGCTTGAGTCCGATTCCCGGACACAACCAACATCAGTGGTGATTATCTCAACCAGTCCCAGGCCACCCATATATCGACTCAGTCTCGTATGAATAGGCCTACCTGTTGTGAAACATAACATCAGTACTAGCGGTTGACGGAGGAGGCCGGGCATGGGACGGGACACATCATCCCCTCGTATGCCATGCGGCCCTTAATATGTGCTCGCAAGAGTCTGTACGGCTATCGGGGGCCTTTGTGTGTGTCTGGGTTTCACTAAAAAGCGCAGAACCAAAGGTAATGTAACGGGCTTTTTCTTTCAGTCATTGGTGACCAGGCTCCTGAGATCAACTCGCCACACTTGATCACGATTCTCTTTGGTTCTTTCGGTAAAGTCACGTAGGTAGAAATAAAAATAAAACAAATCACGAAGTTTCGGTCGCAACACAAGCGAACTTCATAGGTGGGACAACCACAGCAGGAAAATGCTGAAGTCGGCGGGACAGCTGCCGTGGGAAGAGGTTCCTGCAGTCACGAAAGCTTCAAATAAAGATAGATCACGATTATCACGATCGTCGTAATCCATTGTCTATCCACTCTTTTGTTGAAATCCCTCCTCAATGCAATTACCATCTATCACGGTCCGGTGCTGATACCACCCCGTCTCACGCCTGCACACCAATTGATATCGTAGCTTCATCTTCGCGACTATCATTGTCTTGGACGCATTCCCCATCCTTTGGCCGCCACTCCGTCACCAGTCTCGTCCGGACTGCACTTGAGAACCTGGGTTCAAAAACCAGGATCTCTGCGGTGACAGCTCGGCGCTGTGAACTCAAAAAGGAGTCCAAAAATGCCCTTGTTTATTCGAGTGTTCGTGTAACCAGGGGACACGTGGTCACGAGAAAATAAAAACAAAACATTCTCCACGCGACTTCCTCGCTTGCTCAATCCCACGGTGGTTCAAACAAGATTGAACCACGTCTACGGGGAGGGTTTCACACATCTGTTAGAGCTTTTAACAGACTACGAGACAAGAAGGCTCACATGATCGAGTCTCTCACCTTTCTGAAGGCGCCTGTGGGTGTTCCATCTGATGAGGATCGCTTGTGTTGCGATCGAAACGTCGAGATTTATTTATTTATTTCTACCTACGTGACTTTACCGAAAGAACCAAAGAGTATGGATTCCTGCAGTCGCGAAAGCTTCAAATCAAGACAAAAAATCCAACTTTTACATTCTAAGAGCTGGATTTATCACGTGAAGGAAACACTCATTTAATGTGACGGGTTTTTTTTCTGCTCCATCAGCTCGCTACACTTGAGAACTCTGTTTAATCGCAGGTGGCTCGAGCTCAGTTCGAACCCAGGAACTCAACGGTGCGGATTCAGTATCTCTGACATGGCCAATATAAACAATGAGAGACAGAGACCCAGCGCTTGAACCCAGAATCTTAGCAATGCTGGCTCAGTCTTTCTAACACAGCCATTATGAACCCCATGGGAGAGAGAGAGAGAGAGAACCAGATTCAGGGCTTAACTCCAACATCTCACCAGCGCCGGCTGATTGCTCTAACATGGCTGTTATGTTTAACACGTAGGCTTTCGCGACCAATATTATTCATAATAAAGGTTTTTGGGTTAGATCGCGTTATTTATAAATGTGTCGTAACCCTCCACCACCCGACACGGCCAATCAGCAAAAAAGTGTCACGTTGACAAAAGACAAATAGTTCACTACTTTAGCCCACCGGTGTGTTGAAGAGTGAATCCACAACATTTACAGTTTGAGTACGACGTTTCGCTGGTAATTACATCCAGCATCATCGGGCAATTCGCCAGAATGGTAAAGCCCTCACTTGCTCCCGGTCTTTAATAGAGCAGCAGGGTGACGTCATAATTTATGGATCTTTTTATCCACTCGCCAACATCAACATCTTGCGCATTAACGCACAAATATTTCGCGTTTGCACTCCGTGTGAACATAGCGTCGTTGTTACTGTGGACCCACGTGCATTTTAGCACAAGTCACACGATGTTGACTATTGGCTCACGCGTATTCTAACGCAAGTTATTGGCTGTCTTACAGCCGTGGTTCGACACAGGGGAGGGGACGTGATGTGTTTTTCATACAGTCTTAGCGGAGATTAATTTATCACTATATATTCCGAGTCGCTGGTAGACTGGAGTATGGACGTGATTAATAGTCAGGGTATAGCGCGAGGAATACTGGATGTGGTGTGCCGGATGCGGATATATCATTGATTGGGTCGCCAACCGGCCATACCTGGCTAAAGTTCAGCGCTGCGTCTTGGAGTGTAATCAAATGCGGGTAGCCACGTGGTCAGCACCACTCGCGCGCCTGTGATCCAGCGCTTTGGAAACGCAGGGGTTGGTGGATCACGCAACGATTCGCAAAAACTCCCTGCACGCTGCGCTGCATCTGAACCGGCGTGGGGATGTGGGTTAGTGAATCCGTCCGTAGAGCGGAGCTTCACGTGTCACCCACTGTATTCCGACTCCTCCGCACAAGAAACATATTCACTCAAAAGAGAATTGGTCAAAACATCATTTTTAAAAAGATCTGTACGATAATTATGATGCTAATGCTAAAAGATCGGGCAATCATAACGAGGACGCTTGCTGTGCCAAAGATGACGCTGCTAATGATTGTCCAGTAATTATTAATGTGCTAATGAAGTGGAAGGTCGAGTGAAAAATTATGGCGATGATGGATTGGTGGATAATTATGATGATAATCATATGGATTATAATGATTATAAACTGAACGACAATCGTAGTGGTGGTGATGATGATGAATGCACACACAGAGTAAATAGGTAATGGATCAAATATGTTAAGACGACTAGCGTGACCTCAAGCATGCTTAGTTACACGTGGATAAATAGGTGCTTTGTGCACAGGTGCGAGTGTCAAATTCGGCGCCAGCTATTTAGAAACTCAATCCAACCACACACACACCCCCAGCACCCAGAGCACCACCCACAATCGCCACCACAACACACGAACCACAACAAACCAACCACTACAACCAAACCACCACCGCACCCCAATCACAAACCCTCCCCCACCACCAACCACACATCGCAATCGCCACCACAACACAGAACCACAACAAACCAACCACTACGACCCAACCACCACCGCACCCCAACCGCACACCCTCCCCCACAAACCACACAGCACGATCACCACAACACACGAACCACAACAAACCAACGACAATTAACAGCACAACCACCACCACCACAATAAACCAACCACACGCCCCCCTCCGTCACCACCCACAGCACAATCCCCACCCCCACTACCACAACAAATCCACCAGCACAGTTCAGTTACCAGCTTCTTCTTCCTCTTCTTTCGTATGATGATGGTAGACGCAGTGCAACAACCACAATGTCACGTTCAGGTGGTCAAAGTCAGACAACCGCGTCAGGAGCAGCGGAGAGTTTCATCGCTGCGATTATTCCAGTCACAATACACCAACCACACATCACAATTCAAGCACACACTCTTCTGAACTACCCATAGCCAACCTCCTCACTCCTAAACCTCGTCCCCCACTCCTCTGCAATCGAAGTGGACAACCTCCAGCTGCGCGCCCTCTGTTCCACCGCAGTTCAGCCTTCACCTCTTCTTCCTCCTCCCCCTCGTCCTCTTCCTCCTGTTCCTTTAGCGTCATCTCGTCATCCACCTCTTCCGAAGAACTCATGATGCCGTCCCAGTTGCGTATCTCTCTGCCGGCTTCCAGCGCCGTGAGGAGCGTATCGAGTGTTCCCTGATGAGGTGAACTCAGCCTCTCCTTCCTCGCCTGCTTCCTCGACTCTTCTCTCACTGGCACCCGGCTCTCTGAACTCTCCCCTGGCTCTCTAATCTCTCTCCCCTCGCTCTCTCGACTCTCTAATCTTTCTCCCCTGGCTCACTCGACTCTCCGCTATCTTATCCCCTGGCTCTCTCGACTCTCCGCTATCTCTCCCCTGGCTCTCTCGACTCTCCGATATCGCTCCCCTGGCTCTCTCGACTCTCCAATCTCTCTCCCCTTGCTCTCTAATCTCTCTCCCCTGGCTCTCTCGACTCTCCGCTATCTCTCCCCTGGCTCTCTCGACTCTCCGATATCGCTCCCCTGGCTCTCTCGACTCTCCAATCTCTCTCCCCTGGCTCTCTAATCTCTCTCCCCTCGCTCTCTCGACTCTCTAATCTCTCTCACCTGGCTCTCTCGACTCTCCGCTATCTCTCCCTGGCTCTCTCGACTCTCTGCTATCTTATCCCCTGGCTCTCTCGACTTTCCGCTATCTCTCCTCTGGCTCTCTAATCTCTCTCCCCTGGCTCTCTCGACTCTCCGCTATCTCTCCCCTGGCTCTCTCGACCCTCCGCTATCTCTCCCCTGGCTCTCTCGACTCTCCAATCTCTCTCCCCTGGCTCTCTAATCTCTCTCCCCTCGCTCTCTCGACTCTCTAATCTCTCTCACCTGGCTCTCTCGACTCTCCGCTATCTCTCCCCTGGCTCTCTCGACTCTCTGCTATCTTATCCCCTGGCTCTCTCGACTTTCCGCTATCTCTCCTCTGGCTCTCTAATCTCTCTCACCTGGCTCTCTCGACTCTCCGCTATCTCTCCTCTGGCTCTCTAATCTCTCTCCCCTGGCTCTCTCGACTCTCCCCCGCGCTGTCGCCACTCGTCCCTGCCACCCCGCCCGACGCGGCACGCGGCACGCGCCGCGCGTCGCTTCCACATTAGGAGCGGTGGGGAGAGGGCAGGGAGAGTGGAGGAGAGCGGTGGGGAGAGGGCAGGGAGAGTGGAGGAGAGCGGTGGGGAGAGCGGTGGGGAGAGTGGAGGAAAGCGGTGGGGAGAGGGCAGGGAGAGTGGAGGAGAGCGGTGGGGAGAGGGTAGGAGAGAGCTGCAGGGAGAGTGGCGGGGAGAGTGTGCGGTGGAGAAAGGGGGGTGGAGAGCGCGAAGGGGAGAAGGGATAGAACCCTTATAGGGAGCGGAGACCACGCTATTTTAAACCCGGGGCCCGAACTGTTGATCACTCCTCACCAGACCAGTGGTCAGTCCACTCGTTCGCTCTCTTTCATTCATTCACGGACTCACTCGCTCATTAATCAATAAGTCACTCAACGGTGGTACTCACTCATGCACCCAATCACCCATATACGTACAGTACTCATATATCTGGCAAGGGAGGCTGTGTCGGCTGGGTCACGTAGACCCGCATGCCCAGCCACCGCATGCCCAATCAGCTTCTGTTCGGCCGGATAAATGGGGCTAAACGGGCGCAATAGGCACTAGAGAAGAGACGGAGCTGATGTGGTGCAGAATGATTTGTAGCTGATTGAACTTGCCGGTGACTAGTACCAGCTGTGTCAAGCTGGTCCCATGTGGAGGAGCAACAACGGAGGGCAGGGGAGCGACGCTCACGACAACGAGCGGAGCGCCAGGCGGCTAATGCGCAGAGAGTTTGCATCGTGGCTAACACATTTGGTGCATCTGCCAGACATCTCAGTCAGTCAACCCATAGCACCTGAGTCTGTTTCGTGCCCTCCTGTCAATGTGGGCCTACGACACTTCACGTGGCCGCAAAGTGCACCTCGCATGCCACAAGCGCCGTGGTGAACGGCGGTTATGTGAATTAAACTGTTGGCGAGGCTTCTGCTCTCGCTGAACAATTTCCGGGTCCCTGGTTCGCTGGAGTGGGCCTTCGAGACATAACTCTAACAAGTATATCCTCAGCCACATCGAGATATATAACTGGATGTGGTGTCTAGGGTTTTGTCAGATGAAAGGGTAAATAACTGTACGTATATTTATTTCGCGAGATAATTTTATACGTGTGGCAGACTGGTAATCGATAAAAAAAAATGTGAGAAAAAGATTTTAACCCTAATCCAGACAGAGCCGGCTTAAATTAAGCCCATACATTTCCACGCGTATTTTGGATACATGTGTGTGTTTGGGTACACGTGTACACATATATGTGCACACACATATATGTGTACACGCGTGCATGTGTCTGGGTACACGTGCGCGTGGATGGGTGCACGTGTGTGTCTGGGTACACGTGTGTGTCTGGGTACACGTGTGTGTCTAGGTGCACGTGTGTGTCTGGGTACACGTGTGTGTCTGGGTGCACGTGTTGGTCTGGGTACACGTGTGTGTCTGGGTGCACGTGTGTATCTGAGTACACGTGTGTGTCTAGGTGCACGTGTGTGTCTGGGTGCACGTGTGTGTCTAGGTGCACGTGTGTGTCTGGGTGCACGTGTGTGTCTGAGTACACGTGTGTGTCTAGGTGCACGTGTGTGTCTGGGTGTACGTGTGTGTCTGGGTACACGTGTGTGTCTGGGTGCACGTGTGTGTCTGAGTACACGTGTGTG